ACAGTTCTTTGCTCATTAAGAGGAATTGTTGCTATATGACCCGCTTTTGACACAAATGTCGCGACCATATTTTTCGAAACACTTCGAGAGTTTATATTCTGGTTCATAACAGTAAATCCCCGATTCATCACCACTAATAATGCTGTACACATTTTTTGAGTTTCCGGAATTGAAACGGTCAAGCGTTTTTTGACACCAATTAACCCTGGCTGCTTTCTGCTCTTCAGTCAACAGGTGGTGTATCCAACAAGAAACTAATTTTCGTACTCCTAATTCTTCATGTAAAATTTTTTGAGTTGGGGTCTTTGAGATGTTCAAGGACGCCTCAATCTCGCGATATGTCACATGTCTATCTTCAATGATGAGTTTGACTGCCGTTTTTAGTGCACCCACCCTGGGATCGTCACTAAGACTCACCCGTCCACATTTGAATTCTCCATACCAACGGGAAATTGTCGACTGATGTGGCACTTCGTTGCCGAAAACAGACAGTAACTCAGCAAGGCATTCTTGTTTGGATAACTGTCTCGGAAGGTTGTAATAAATTATGGCGCGAAAATGTTCTCGGTTGAGTTTTATTTTTCTGACTTGGTGACACCTAAAAATTCACTGTAGTGAGAACACTGCACGTATTGTTGTGAAACTTTGAATTTAAGTTTACTAAAGAGTGAGGTTAAGATTCAGTACTGACGTTCGATCCGCGCGGCCTACTATGTTTCCATATGAAAAACTTAAAAGACATTCTTGTTTTTGGAAGCGAACTCGCACAGCGAACTCAAAGAGCGCTTGGATGCTTTCGATGGCGAACGTCAAAAATGGGTTTAATGAGTTTCAACGTGGTCGGACATCGATTTTTCATGAGCCACACCCAGATGCCACAGAGGATAATGTGACAAAGATCCACAATCTCGTATTGGCAGACTGCCGATTGAAGGTAAGCGTGATAGCTGAGATAGAAGGCATCTCAAAAGACCGCGTGGGTCATATCTTGTATGGAATATTGAGCATGAGAAAGCTGCCTGTGCGATGGGTGCCGCGTTTGCTCACTTCGGACAACGAGCTTTTGATGCTGTTTAAGCGCATTCCGAATGATCTTCTGTGTCGTTTCGTGACTGTCGACGAAACATGGATCAACTGGTACACACCAGAGGCCAAGGAACAGTCGAAATAGTGGACTTCGCCTGGCGAACGTGCTCCGAAGAAGGCAAAGACTGTCCTATCGACCGGAAAGGTGATGATCGCCGTTTTCTGGGATTCACAAGGTGTGTTCTACATCGACTACCTGGGGGAGAAAAAAACGGCCACACACTATGCCAAATTATCGGCTCGATTGGACGAAAAATTGCAGAAAACACTACACCACACCGGCTTCCATCCTCCGCCGTCGCCACGGCCAAATTGCGAATTTTCGAACTGCTGATCCATCCACCATATTCTCCAAATTTGGCCTCGTGCGACTTGTTTTTGTTTCCAAACTTGAAAAAGTCACTCACCAGGCAGAAATTTGAGTCGAATGAGAAGATTATCGCCGCCACGGAAGCCTTCTTTGCATACATAAGCAAAACGTATGTTTCAGATGAGTTAAAGAAGTTGGAGCATCGCTAGGTCAAGTGTGTCGAGCTAAAAGGAATAAAGAAAGAAAGAAATCGCCACTTTTCCAAAATTTTCCTTTTTCTTTTGTAGGCTAAGCACTTATCGGACAGCCCTCGTATTTTCAGCAACATACTAACTTAGTTTTGAGTTCTCTTGTTTGGTGTTCGACGCTCTTAGATGAGGAATATGCGCATGACTATCTTAAGCTATGTAGGAGCCGCTGAGCCCACAGACAGCTTGGGGCCTACATCTGAAGGGGCTCCAGAGGGCCTTACTATGCCGTTGAGGAAACTTGGAGAACCGGAGAGAGATATTAAGACAGATATTTTTTTTTTGAAATTTCGCTTGAATTTTGGCACTTGAGGGGCCCCCTCAACCCGTGGGGTTATAACAAATAACGTAATTTTTCGAGATCCCCAGGAACTGTTAGTAATGGACCTCTTGGAAATAGGTTCGGCCCTATTCAGGAGGGCAATTGTGACAACAAAGTGATGTATGATATTTTAACGCGTTAACGCCGCCACAGATTTGGAATTCCGAACAGGAATATCGCAGGAGTGTTACTTTTTCTACAAACATACCGACTGCGCTTTATTCAGCAGAATATGTCTTATATTCCTGGGTTATTCTGAATCAGGATTCTGATTGAATGCTAACTTGTAATTTGATATGAAAGTCACAATGGGATAGTGAGATGTGGAAATGTTTCAAGTATAGAAGGATCATGTGAAACATAATTTAAATAAAAAAATGTAATGTTTTTTGTTTTATTTTATATTTACTCCGGATTCTCTCACAGTTCAATAGATATCATAGCTCTCATCAAAAAGCAAAACTGTTTCTTCTTTAGTTTAATGTAGGCATTTTCATTATGTTTCTAACAATTCCAACATACTTATACCAGAATAATACAAATAATCTGAAATTAGTTATTCTAGTAACACAAGTTATGGTGAAAATCTTTGTGATTATGGAGAAAAACAAATGGTAGGTACAAATTGACGAACAGATTTTGCTCGACATTTTAACTTATCTGTATCAGTAAAAGACTCTTCTCTGAAAAATTTCACAACAACATAAAAGTCATCATGTAAGTCACTATCAATAAAGTCCACATATCCATACACTGATATAAATGTTTCATTTACTGGTAGATTATCTAAGCACATAAATAGTAGTTGGATTCCTTCATGTTTAGACTCCAAACTGGTTAAAAGCGAATGCTTGTTCTGCTCACATATGTAAAACCCCATCAAATGTAATTTATAAATTTTATATAGGTGCTTTTTGTCAAGCCTAGAAATCTCTTCATTGCTTATATAGACAAAAGGTCTATTGAAGTCTCTTGGACCACAGAAAGAACCAGCAGTAGGTACCTCTAATCTGAGCTTCTGAAAAAGATTTAAGTAGGCCAAAGAGTCATAATCATATGCAGTGAAAGGTATTATCGACGTATCCAGCTTTGATTCTAATTTTGCAGCCTCGGACATGTGGGTTTCATAATTTTCAGCGTTTTCCTTTTTTGTAATTGCACGTTTGAGCTTTTTTCTGTATTTTCTGGATTTAGGATATGCGTCTGGAGTTGCTGGTATCACATCTTGCAAAATACTATCATTGCCTAAGCCAGAGTTGTTGATAAACTTAGTTTCCATTAAAAAATATTTGAAATTTTAAGATCTTAACTTAACCGTCCAACATAACCACACAAACACTCATGTCATCAAGATCAAAAGTGTTGCTTGTGATCAAAGTGTCGTCAGCGAGGAAAAGGGGCGTGGTAATCGAACTCAAACTGGGGATAAGCCGAAGTTAATATAGTTTGTAATATTATTAGGTTGACAAGGGTCGCGGTCCGTAAGTCACAATATCCGCTCAAGGACATGAATACGTTGGCGGCTTGGTCCGATTGGTTTGCGGTGTGTTTGCCCGTGTGGACGCTACGACTTTCGGACCGCTAGATTTGCAAGTGCTTGTTTACAAACAAAAAAGTTTTAACCGCAATTGAAAAAATTTGGTACTTTTGTTTATTGTATTTAGTGAAAATGAACGAAAATCGTGCTTTTGCCATTGTTAGTGCACTCCAGGAAACACTAGATACATCGTCAGATGATGAGGAACTCATCAGTTTAATTTTCTCGTCATCCTCTAGTAAAGAAACCGATGGAGTTGAAGTATATGCGGTAGAGAGAAGAGGACCGATGCAAAAGAGGCCTCGCATTGAAGAGTTTGTAGAACGCACAGTGCCGGGTTTCTCCTCAGAAGAATTTAAATCGCATTTTAGAATGCTGCCAGAAACTTTCGAATTTGTTTTGGGACATGTTGGACCATTGTTAAGCACAGCTGGGCCTAGTTCTCGACCACAAACTCCTGCAAAGACTCAACTGCTACTGGTATTATGGTTAATGGCAACTCCCGATTCATATAGGTCTGCTTGCACAAAGTTTAATGTAGGGAAAGCAACCTGTGTACGTTCAATGCGAAGAGTTTGTCGAGCTCTACATACCTTAGCTCCTAGATTCATAAGGTGGCCTGAGGGACAACGAGCTCAAGAAGTGATAGGAGAATTTGTACGTGCTAGTGCTTTCCCTGGAGTTATTGGTGCAATAGATGGGACTCACATTGAAATTAATAAACCCAAAGATGATGAACATAATGCATATTGCAATAGAAAGGGATATCCATCATGCATATTGCAATAGAAAGGGATATCCATCAGTCCAAGTGCAAAGCATTTGTACTTACAAGCTAGTATTCACTAGTGTATATGCTGGACATGCTGGGTCAGTTCATGATGCCCGTGTATTTAGCTTATCAAGAATACCTGATTATATGGCAGACCCAGCACGATACTTTCCAAATGATAGCCACCTTGTTGGTGACTCGGCTTATCCAATCCATCCCTGTATAATGGTGCCTTATAAGGACAATGGTCACTTGACATCACTACAGAAAAACTATAATTTTTGCCTATCATCTGCCAGAACATCGATTGAGAGAGCATTTGGTGTGTGGAAAAATCGCTGGAGGAGAATTCTTGACAGACTTCCCATGGTCACGATGGAACAAATACCTGAATACCTATTAGCAGTTGCAGTATTGCATAATATTTGCATTCAAAGAGATGACTTGTTTGTTCTTAGTGAACCACAAATTATAAATGATACCCCTCTTGTCCAGCAAAGAGACATGCTAATAGATGATGCCACAAGGAGAGCTGCAGGTAGTGCAAAGAGAGACCGCATCATGAATGAACTTTCTGTTAGAAACATTTAGTAAATGTGTTACTATTTTTGTAATACAGTCTGATTGGAAAATATTTCAGTGTATTTGTTTTAAAAATGACATTGGTTTAAATAATTTTTTTTAGGAAATGACACATCAAAACTTTTAAAATTATATTCATAATTCAACAGAACAGAATTCAACGAATATTATCAAAACAAACAAAAAAAATAAAAATATGCAAAAATTGACCAAACCCGAATACACGAAGCCTAGTTTTCATCTTCAAATAATTTACGCCCTGCCAAAGCTTCGCCTATCTTCTTTAGAGCATCCATTTTTTCTTTATGGTGCCTTTCCTTCATTTCCATCAATTCCTGCAGTGCCTGCATACGTTTTTCTTCTCTGGCTCTACTTCGATCCTCTTTCTCTTTCCGTAATTTTAATTTTTCTAGGGCAGTGACATCTGTTTTCTTCATTTTTTTGGCAATGGGTTCTGGCTGAATGGGGCCCCTTTCGTCAGCAGTGGCCTTGGGATTGGCCCATGCGCAGCGACCAAATAATTCTTCCATCCGCTCTAGGTACGGCCATCTAATAGTGCCACTACCAGATCTACCCTTCCTCGCCAATATTATTTTGTATCGGTTTTTGAGGCCATTTAGCTTTGACTGAAGTTGACTATGGGAAAGGGTAGATCCAGTTAGCTTTTTAATATCTTCTGCAATTTGTAACCACAATGACTTATGGGTTTTCTCCCCCGCATCAAATTGTGGCCTATACTCTTCGAATTTAGACAATAGCAGAAAAACCATTTGTGTAGGCCACAAAAACTTATCTTCCTCATCTGCCTTTTCTACTCCAGGTGGAGCAGGACCACTGATAGCTTCATCTTCTTCTTCAAGTGGATGAGGAAATGCAGGGGGAAGAGTAGAACAAGGAATAGGTGCAGCGGTCGGCGTACAAGCTGATGCGCTCTGGTCTGGATGGCTTTTGTTTTTTTTCTCTATAACATCGTGGTACAGACGATTTAATAGAGCCTCATCTACGTAGTCATGCCATAAGTTCTGTCCCTCGTTTTCAAACAAGTGTAGACCTGTTAATACTTGTCCGATTGTTTACATTGTGGTGTCAGTTGATTAAGCGCTTTTCGGGTAATTACATATACCTCAGTTTGTATTGATCTCTCGAAGCATAACGATGGACTGGGGCAAGGCAGAGAACCGTATTGCAGTGATAGCTTTACATAAGTGTAATCACAGTGCTAGTCAGATTTTTGAACTCTTACGCGGCCTTCAAATATCGCGTAAATTTGTGTCTAGGACCATTCAGCGGTACAATGAGACGTCCTCTGTTGATGACAGGCCAAGAAGCGGAAGACCTCGTCAAGTAAGGACTCCAGCAGCCATCAAAGCCGTAAAAGCCAGGATTCAAAGGAATCCACTCCGGAAGCAGAAGATCCTATCCAGGGAAATGAAGATTCCTGTCCGGACGATGTCGCGCATCATTAAACAAGACCTAGGGCTAGGGGCTTACCGGAGACGTACGGGCCAGCGACTTACGGCCACCTTGCGACACATCAGGGCGACAAGATCCAAGAAGCTCTTGGAGAGGTACGCAGCTGGGGGATTCCGAAAGATTTTGTTCACGGATGAGAAAATCTTCACCATAGAAGAAAAATTCAACCGACAAAATGACAAAGTGTATGCAAGGAGTTCACAGGAAGCTTCGGAGATCATTCCGAGAGTTGAGAGAGGCCACCACCCTGCGTCAGTCATGGTTTGGTGGGGGGTGTCCTACGAAGGGGTCACTCAGCTCCATTTCTGTAAACAGGGCGTGAAAACAAAAGCGGCAAACTATCAGAGCGACATACTGGATCCTATCGTCAAGCCTTTAAGTGGTACATTGTTTGCCAACCAACACTGGGTCTACCAGCAGGATTCCGCCCCCGCTCACAAGGCTAAGAGTACGCAGCGCTGGCTGGAAAGCAATGTGCCAGAGTTCATTGCTGCGGAAGATTGGCCCTCAGGGAGTCCGGACCTCAATCCTTTAGACTACAAGTTGTGGGACCTGCTAGAGCAGTTGGCCTGCTCCAAAGCCCACCGTAATATCGAGTCCCTGAAAGCGGATTTGATCCGATCAGCGGCAGCTATTCCTTTGGAAGCTGTGCGTGCAGTGATAGATGAGTGTCCCGCGAGATTGAAGCAGTGTGTGAAGGCCAAGGGGGGACATTTTGAATAAAACTGTTTGATTATGAATTCTAAAAATGTTGTCGAATAAATAATATCTTTCATATAAATATATCTTATCTTGTTTCATTTTTATCATGAGATTATCATGGGACAGAACTTATGGCACGACTACGTAATATAAAGACAAAGAATAACTATTATTAATTGGCCAAGACTTGAAAATATAAATGAACGCAATTGAGTCTTTGCAAGTCTCTATATTTCATCAGCAAGCTGATTCTATTTACCTCCGGAATAGATTTTCGCGGCATCAGCTGCACTCACTATCAATGATAGCAACTCTTGTCCTTCAGCCTGCACCGGAATTTCAACGTCAGCCATAATATACACAAAAGGTATAAATAATTATTTTTCCAAAATTTGTTCCCGCCTAATTGCTCGGTCGTGGTAATAAACGCGCATTGCGCGGTCCGATAGCCGCGAACAGCGCAAGCGCTTAACCCGCTCATGCCTTGCAGCCTGTACGCCGTGAACGTCTCGTAAACGCTATCCGTGACGCAATAGGTGACGTCACGCGCTCATACCAATGTGCTCACGGAGGCTTTCGGACCGGCCTTGAGTGCGCTGTCAACGGTGTGAACGGCTATCGGACCGCGGACCTAAGCGCATCAGCTTGTACGCCGACCGCTGCACCTATTCTAGAGATGATCTTAGCAGCGACTTGCAAGTCGCCGGGATACCGGTAACAGCGACCTTAAAGTCGCCGGTAGATTTAGCAGCGCTTTAGGTCACTGCTTATCTATGGTCGCTGCCAGCAGCCAGCGAGTCCCTGGCGCTGATTTAATTACTCGATATTTGGCGGCGGTTATCCATTGATATTAACGAGGTGTAGATGTTCAGGTTCCTGAAGATTTGAATTAAACTATATTTCAGGTTTTTGTTTTTAACAATATTGAGCACAAAACACATAAAATCATAAAAATATATATAATAATAATATATATCTATTTTTTCTTGTTAGTACAATAAGTTTGAAATAAAAATGTTTGGTTAATTTACAATACCTGGAATTTTATTTAGGCGCCGCCAGGTTTTTTAGACTTACAAAATCAAGCGCCGTGATCCAAATGGAGATTAACAATTCAATATAATGTCAGTCTAAACAGCCTAACGAGGCCATGTATGATTCTGGTGCTCTCAGACATAAATGTCTGACACCGCCAAATAATGCCTAACTATGTCAATCATAAACGAGTGACAGCACAAAATAAAACAAGAATAAAATAGTATGCCGGCAGTCAGTGTTAACTTTATCACTTACTGAAAAAAAAAATCCAAATATCACTAATCTTTTGGCGCTTTGACATATTTATAAGGTGCTTGCAACTCACAAAAATAACAATAAAAACTAACAAAATAGGTTAGGCTACGCTGTAGCGACCCTGTACTACCCGCGCGATGTCTATATGCTTCCTGGCAGCGACCGCGACCGAAACAGCGTTTCAGCTACCGATCAGTGGTTACCGATACCGATACTTCCAAACAGCGATCTGGGTCGCTGCTTCATGGAGAATCAGGTCGCCGGGACTAACGGCGACCATTCAAGTCACCGGGAAAGGTCGCCGGTACCGATATATCGATCATCTCTAACCTATTCCTTGTTCTACTCTTCCCGTCTTCCCCCTGCATTTCCTCATCCACTTGAAGAAGAAGATGAAGCTATCAGTGGTCCTGCTCCACCTGGAGTAGAAAAGGCAGATGAGGAAGATAAGTTTTTGTGGCCTACACAAATGGTTTTTCTGCTATTGTCTAAATTCGAAGAGTATAGGCCACAATTTGATGCGGGGGAGAAAACCCATAAGTCATTGTGGTTACAAATTGCAGAAGATATTAAAAAGCTAACTGGATCTACCCTTTCCCATAGTCAACTTCAGTCAAAGCTAAATGGCCTCAAAAACCGATACAAAATAATATTGGCGAGAAAGGGTAGATCTGGTAGTGGCACTATTAGATGGCCGTACCTAGAGCGGATGGAAGAATTATTTGGTCGCTGCGCATGGGCCAATCCCAAGGCCACTGCTGACGAAAGGGGCCCCATTCAGCCAGAACCCATTGCCAAAAAAATGAAGAAAACAGATGTCACTGCCCTAGAAAAATTAAAATTACGGAAAGAGAAAGAGGATCGAAGTAGAGCCAGAGAAGAAAAACGTATGCAGGCACTGCAGGAATTGATGGAAATGAAGGAAAGGCACCATAAAGAAAAAATGGATGCTCTAAAGAAGCATTGAGGCGAAGCTTTGGCAGGGCGTAAATTATTTGAAGATGAAAACTAGGCTTCGTGTATTCGGGTTTGGTCAATTTTTGCATATTTTTATTTTTTTTTGTTTGTTTTGATAATATTCGTTGAATTCTGTTCTGTTGAATTATGAATATAATTTTAAAAGTTTTGATGTGTCATTTCCTAAAAGAAATTATTTAAACCAATGTCATTTTTAAAACAAATACACTGAAATATTTTCCAATCAGACTGTATTACAAAAATAGTATCACATTTACTAAATGTTTCTAACAGAAAGTTCCTTCATAATGCGGTCTCTCTTTGCACTACCTGCAGCTCTCCTTGTGGCATCATCTATTAGCATGTCTCTTTGCTGGACAAGAGGGGTATCATTTATAATTTGTGGTTCACTAAGAACAAACAAGTCATCTCTTTGAATGCAAATATTATGCAATACTGCAACTGCTAATAGGTATTCAGGTATTTGTTCCATCGTGACCATGGGAAGTCTGTCAAGAATTCTCCTCCAGCGATTTTTCCACACACCAAATGCTCTCTCAATCGATGTTCTGGCAGATGATAGACAAAAATTATAGTTTTTCTGTAGTGATGTCAAGTGACCATTGTCCTTATAAGGCACCATTATACAGGGATGGATTGGATAAGCCGAGTCACCAACAAGGTGGCTATCATTTGGAAAGTATCGTGCTGGGTCTGCCATATAATCAGGTATTCTTGATAAGCTAAATACACGGGCATCATGAACTGACCCAGCATGTCCAGCATATACACTAGTGAATACTAGCTTGTAAGTACAAATGCTTTGCACTTGGACTGATGGATATCCCTTTCTATTGCAATATGCATGATGGATATCCCTTTCTATTGCAATATGCATTATGTTCATCATCTTTGGGTTTATTAATTTCAATGTGAGTCCCATCTATTGCACCAATAACTCCAGGGAAAGCACTAGCACGTACAAATTCTCCTATCACTTCTTGAGCTCGTTGTCCCTCAGGCCACCTTATGAATCTAGGAGCTAAGGTATGTAGAGCTCGACAAACTCTTCGCATTGAACGTACACAGGTTACTTTCCCTACATTAAACTTTGTGCAAGCAGACCTATATGAATCGGGAGTTGCCATTAACCATAACACCAGTAGCAGTTGAGTCTTTGCAGGAGTTTGTGGTCGAGAACTAGGCCCAGCTGTGCTTAACAATGGTCCAACATGTCCCAAAACAAATTCGAAAGTTTCTGGCAGCATTCTAAAATGCGATTTAAATTCTTCTGAGGAGAAACCCGGCACTGTGCGTTCTACAAACTCTTCAATGCGAGGCCTCTTTTGCATCGGTCCTCTTCTCTGTACCGCATATACTTCAACTCCATCGGTTTCTTCACTAGAGGATGACGAGAAAATTAAACTGATGAGTTCCTCATCATCTGACGATGAATCTAGTGTTTCCTGGAGTGCACTAACAATGGCAAAAGCACGATTTTCGTTCATTTTCACTAAATACAATAAACAAAAGTACCAAATTTTTTCAATTGCGGTTAAAACTTTTTTGTTTGTAAACAAGCACTTGCAAATCTAGCGGTCCGAAAGTCGTAGCGTCCACACGGGCAAACACACCGCAAACCAATCGGACCAAGCCGCCAACGTATTCATGTCCTTGAGCGGATATAGTGACTTACGGACCGCGACCCTGGTCTGGATTTCTTTTGTTTTTTTCCTCTATAACATCGTGGTACAGACGATTTAATAGAGCCTCATCTAATATAAAGACAAAGAATAACTATTATTAATTGGCCAAGACTTGAAAATATAAATGAACGCAATTGAGTCTTTGCAAGTCTCTAAAGTCTCTATATTTCATCAGCAAGCTGATTCTATTTACCTCCGGAATAGATTTTCGACTCGTAAACGCTATCCGTGACGCAATAGGTGACGTCACGCGCTCATACCAATGTGCTCACGGAGGCTTTCGGACCGGCCTTGAGTGCGCTGTCAACGGTGTGAACCTGTGAACGACTATCGGACCGCGGACAAGGCCGACTGCAGATGTTACTTTTTCCGTCATTACAACCATTACAATTTGCCAGGAGAAACTTATACGAGCCCCTTCCCACTCCAGTTGGGCCCAACTATTGAAATCTTAGTTTTTTTCTTATCAAACATAAATAATAAAAAAGTAGCAGGGTGTTATAGGTTTAAAATATTAACAATGAATATTTTGATAATATATAGTACAAAACACCAACTTTATCACTCCCTAATCAAGTTTGCAGCATAAAAATAACACATGTTGCAATTACAGCATATCAACCTATTTTCATTTCAATGCAAAATAAGTCTATGACGCATAGGTGGCTGTGAAAAATAAAAGCCATGACAATTGTTTTTATTAATCACAGCTGTCAGAATACGTTTAAAATATTTTTGGTCAGTTAAGGTTCTGAAAATGGGTAGAGGAAAGGTTATTAGTGAGAAAATTCGGTTACTGATAATAAATATTTTTAATTCTGGGAAATCAAACTCAGAAATTGCGACTTTGTTAGACTTATCGCGGTACAGTGTAAGAAATATTGTTAGAAGATATAACGTAACTGACTCAGTTAATATTAAGCCACGATATTAGAAAAATCCTGAAAAACAGGCGTGCCAATTATTTACAATTGAGTGCTCTGTGGAGTGACGCTGTTGGAAGGAGAATTTCGAGGTCCACAACTCATAGAGAGGCCCACAAACTGGGATTTAGCACTTGCAAGGTAAGTTTTCTTATAAAAAAAGTGAAGTAAAAACCCTAAAGTTGCACAACTTGTTTATAGGCCAAATAAAAGCCACTATTAACTCCACTGCAAAAGAAAAATCGGCTTAGATGGGCTAAAGAACATAGACAATGGATACCTCAACAATGGTGTGCAATACAATGGAGTGATGAGACCCGATTCGAAGTTTGTGTTGGTGACAGTCGCAGTAGAGTTATTCGCAAAAAAATGAAGCATTCCATGATGACTGACTGAAGAGAAAAGTGAAATTTCCAGCATTCATTATGGTCTGGGGCAGTATTTCATCAAAAGGAGTAGGAATACTTCATTTTATTGATGGAAATGTGGATACAAACAAATATTTGGCAATTTTAGAAGAATCGCTTTTACCAGTGATGGAAGAATGCTGGACATCCGGCCAAGATTTTTTGTTTCTGCAAGATGGTGCAGCGTGCCATACCTCACATAAGGTGAAATGGATGGAAGAAAATAATGTACCACTTTTGAAATGGGTCTGTAGCAGTCCAGATCTGTCACCTATAGTGGCACGAGATGAAAAAGGTTCTATGACAACATCCTGCCCGTACAATCACCGAACTGAGACAAAAGCTTCGAGAAATATGGGATTGTTTTACACCAAATTTTTGCCAAAACTTGGTTAACACTATGCCCCAAAGAATTTCAGCCGTAATAAAAAATAAAGGTGATGTTATCCAATGGTAATCTATCAATTGTTGCTTTGTTAACTTCGCGCATTTATCCGCACATTGTTTATTTGTTCAGATGTTCTATTAGTTATAGGTCTAAGTGATTTCAAATATGTATTTATTTACGACTAGAGTGTATCTAAAATGTCTTTGAGAAAATAAATTGATTTAGAAGTAAATAGTTTCGTCATGTTTAGTTTATAAAGGCATATTTTGGTACAAATCTTGAAGTGGGAAGGGGCTCGTATGTGTCTCAAACTTTTGTTGTTCTCAGCGCCCATCCCTTATTGATTGCGAGTGTAGACGATTTGTGATATGATGGTGTAATAACTTATTTTTTCCCAATAATTTACTGAATAGATACCAAAAATGACAATAATTTATTTATGCTTTTTAAAGTTACAATTGGTGAGATTTCAAGAAGTGTCCAGACAGAGGTGCCTCGTCTGAATATCCTGCTATCTCTTGTGGTATAACGGCACTTTCTTCCACTCCAGTGCATGGTCGGCACATGCATTCCAATGGTGCTTTAGTAGTCACCTGAAAATTAACATGGAATGTAACAAAATGTAGAAACAAATATGAATACTTGGCCATATTTTAATATTCTTAATGAGTATAACTAATAAGGTGCTCCACTTTATGGTAAAACTGAAGTCAGCCTGTATCATTTTTCTCAAAAATGAAGCTGAAGTACAATAACAATATCCAATACCCGGCAAAATTCTAACTTGTCACATTTCAAATAATAACCAGAAATATAAAACTACTCTTGAGTTTGGTAAATACCACAATTTTGCGGTGATAACTATGACATATAACAGCTGATTCGTGACGTCACGGATCTTATAACCAAACTGATAACTACACTCGCTTCCTCGCTTGAACGGATTGGTAAATACCATTTCCATTTGGTTATCCGCTTGAATTTGATTACTGTTTCTGTGGCACTGAGCTGACATGTGATTGCCACTGATTTGTCAATTCGTCAATAATCAAATTCAAGCGGATAACCAAATGGAAATGGTATTTACCATTTTGGGTTGGTATTTACCAATCCGTTCAAGCGAGTGTAGTTATCAGTTTGGTTATAAGATCCGTGACGTCACGAATCAGCTGTTATATGTCATAGTTATCACCGCAAAACTGTGGTATTTACCCAACTCAAGAGTAGTTTTATGTTTCTGGTTATTATTTGAAATGTGACAAGTTAGAATTTTGCCGGGTATTGGATATTGTTATTGTACTTCAGCTTCATTTTTCAGAAAAATGATACAGGCTGACTTCAGTTTTACCATAAAGTGGAGCACCTTATTAGTTATACTCATTACGGTTGTTGGGGACACTTTAAATGTAGTTCATATGCTTAACAACGTATCCTGTGTAGCCATATACCACAAGAATATTAAAATATGGCCATATAAACTCACTAAATGATATCCACCTGTATACGGTTTTGCTAATTTCTTTTTTCATCATTTCTGCTGAATCAATAAATGTTTTCTTTGACATGCGGAAAAATTTAGAGAATTGAAAGTTATCATAGCTACAAAGCCATGGTCCCATCATTAAAAAAAAAATCTGAAAAAAACATTTCTCCCATGAATATTATGAAAGGTTTCTTATTTAAACTTTCCATATATTTACAGTTGTAGACGAAAAAGCACCGATTACTAAGTGATAATAAAAATAATCAGAGATTATATACGCGCTTTTCTGAAACTTGTAACAAAACCGCGGTTAAAACCAACGCGTTCAAGCGATTCGTGTAACTGACGTCATCAACCCGTGTGTCATCTCGAACCATATTATAACCGCGGCACAAAACACAGAAATTTTGGTTATTCGCTTGGATTTGATTAATGCGTGTTGTTTTGTGGTTTTGTTATCAATTTTTTAATATGTATTGTGTTTTGATCTTGCTTGCTCTAGTATTTTAAAAAACTTATTATTAATATCTGTTTTCTAGTCAATATCTGGGACTGAGAATCCATATCATTTTCGTTTTGGTTAGCTACATTACAGTAACAAGCTTGAGGAAAACTTCGTGAATACATAAGCAAGATCTTAAAGGTGAGAATAATAGATCAGATGTCATTCATTCCTAAACATCATACTCTTGATATTTCCTATTTGTTCACGTTATTAGGCATATCTGTAGTAGATTAATTAGGGATTTCCGTGTTTGTGAATTTTTGTGTGAAACTGGTGCATACCTTTATAAATTTCCTTTCACCTGGCTTGGCCTTTGGACAAAACAGTGAAACTGAAGCCTCTCTTTCACCCGATTCCTGGCAACACATACAAGACCTTTCCATTTGCCAAATTTTGCTGCCAGATACCTAAAGATGGAACTTGATAAAAATGCCTGCTCACTGAGAGGAAGAGAAGTGATTTTAATATTGGTCATGTTCACTCCATAGATAGTCATGTGTTCATATGGTGCATAGTCTTGCATGCACACAGTGTAAATGGGCACAGAGCAGCACTTACACACAATACATTGGTGCTCTGTGGCTATCATGCTTGTTCCTACTCAAGGTTTATACATGACCTATGTCACTCAATAATGCTTGGAATATGGTTTTCTCTCTCTAACTTTGTCGATTGGCACAAATTAGGTCCCTTCTAGGGATCATATTTTCCAAATTGGTATTTTTGGTACTTGCTTTAGATAAACCTTGGTCATTCTAGGATTTGCAGAAAGTAACTAATTAAGTATCATGTGTATTAGTGCAGTGCTAAGTTAGAGGATTAAGAGAAATAGCAAAAGTGATTATTTTCCAGGTTAAACATGTTCTTTTCTGTTTACCAAATATTGGATGATCAAAAGTACTAACCTGTATATAAGATGCACATTTTCCTATACAGGCAAAACTGGGTATAGGTTTTGGTACACACCCTGGATACTGCAGAACATGTATTACTGGTGTAACCTGGCACTCATCTGTAGAGCTAGCTGCATATACCTTTGAACTTCTTGTCAGTCTAGGGTCCATGCACATACTCCCAATTATTATTAATACTATGGATATTGTCTTTCCTGCATATATAACTGAAAAATATGTATACAATACAGGGTGTCCCAGAATTAACATGCCAGAGTGACACAGGAGGTAGATTGGTTTCGGATCAATAAATCAGATAAAATCAACATGACTTTGGTAAAAGTCTTCTAGTTTTCAACATATCACCACTTTTAAGTTTTCTCAAACAATCCTGCTCTTTACTCATTTTTTTGCCTGTTATGGCTATAAAGGACTTCTTACTTATGATTTTTTTCTATGGGCTACCATTAATAGTTGGTTGAGACAACAGCATATTTATTTTATTGAAGACTAGCACAGTATGCTAAAAAATTATTACATTTGGTTTCAATGTGAAAACCTTTACTAAAGTTTTACTAATTACTGTGAAAAAAATGTGCCAGACTGAATCAGCAACATACTAAAAACTAAATAATTCCAAATTTGTCATTGAAGTCATAATACTTGCAAAATACTACAAATAAAGAAATTATAAATGTAGCTGTCCTTTGTGTCCAAATTACAACTTTGTACTTGCCACAGATTTATTTTTTACTTGCTAACAGCTCATTTATTTAGAAAAGTTCATTTGTATACAAAAACAAAATGCCACAAACATGTTTTACTAGATTTACACCCGATTCATTTTTGCTAACATTGCAGACTAACATAAAAATGTGACTTGCTGATCAGCTGTTCACCTCAGCAGACGTCAAAGCATGATGGATACTCGAGAAATAGGGTATAGCTAATTTTTAAGGTCTTTACTGATTCAGTCTGGTACATTTTTTTCAAAGTAATTAGTAAAACTTTCGTAAAGGTTTTCATACCGAAACCAAATGTAATAATTTGGTTTTTTTTAGCATACCATGCTAGTTTTCAATGAGATAAATACTCGGTTGTCTCAACAACAGGGAAAAAAGAGCAAAAAGGAGGATTTTTTGGAAAAACTTGAAAGTGGCAATAACTCGAAAACTAGAAAACTTTTACTCATGTTGATTTAATCTGATTAGTCTGGAGCCAATCTACCTCCCGTGTCACTCTGGTGAATTTATTTTTGGGATACCCTCTATACTACCTTAAAGTAGGCAAATGTTGTTTCTTTCTTTCCCTTTATTTTGAGAAGTATGAAAGGATAAATAATGCGTGCAATGATCCCTTATGTCTACCTGAAAAAATTTGTTTGTTTCACCTTCGACGCCGCTGGCAAGGAGGTATTGTAATCGCGAAAATTTTCAAAAACATGATAACTATGCTCTTTGGAAGTTATGCGACATGTGTCATTTCCTACTTGGAAAGTACATCTTGGCTTTTGATGATTTTTTTTACACAAGGTTACTACCATGCTAAGGACGAGAAAACTTTGTATTTTTTGAAAGTTCGTCCAGTGGTGGCGAAGCTAAGGGCAACAACCGAAGAAATAGAAAACGCTCAAACTCGGTTTTTTTGGCATTTCGGGTATTTTTTGATATTTCGGAGTAGTTGAAAGAAAATTAGGGGTTAGTAGTCCTGATGGTTACGGGCTGTGAATCTTGTGTCCTTAGTATCAGTAAAAGATGCTCCATTATTGAGAAGTTTCTGATAGCGGTAGTGCTACGCGCATATTAGATATAATAGTCGCCCACATTTATTTAGGTGAATCGTGGCTCTTAAATTAGATTCCATAAGCAATAATTGGTGCTTTATTATTTATACTGTACATATATTATGACGGTTATACTTGGAGTTTAATTTAATGAGGTTACTTGATTTTGGGGTAATATTGTTACGAACTGCAACAAAACTAAAAAAAAAACATAAAATGCCTATTGCTGTAGTCTGAGGAGCTGTTCTATTTAAATTTTGATTGTGATTTAAAAAAAAATCTTTTTAACTATTTTCCCTAGAAAATTGCAATAATTGACAGAACCTACGTCCTTTGTATAGATACAATTACACTACATCGAAAATTGTGATCGAACCTGTTTCGATGCCATGGAAGGGTCTGATCTTCGCAACTTTGAGTTTGCCTTTAAAAGCTCAATCCTCAATGGAACAGTTTATTAAAAAGACTAAGGGTTCACTAATGAAATTAGAAGATATTTTCAACATATTGGTACTAGTCCTATCTGCACTAGAAGAGTTGTAGTGTTTAAGAATGAATTTTCGTATCTATATTTGTTGCACTATTTCTTTTCCTGTTATGTGTATATCAGCCTGAAATGTTGTTGAAATGAAGCACAAATCTTTCGGTTCACATATTATTTCATTTTCTACATTTAGTTTATATTCCTTTCATGTCTAGGTACATTTCTGATTTCTTTTATTATATTCGATTTCTTGCATTCAAGATTACTTTGTTGTAATGCAGTCATTAAGCAGCTCTAAGAACCCTTGCATATACCAGTTTATGACTTTTATAGTTATCTATGACATATATCTCCAGTCCTGAATAAATCATAAAGATAGTGAAGCTTGTCTCTTGATACTAATATATTTTGTTATCCAAGGCTTTCTGGATTTCGTTTTTACAGTTTTTGTTATTTCAGGAAATGCTGTGTCTATGTAATACTGGAAAGTTTATAAGATTAAGTCAGATTTTTCATTTATACTTTATCTGAATGGTCAATATGATCCCAGGTCACTTGACTTAAAAGAGCTAAACATTGCAATTGGATTTGTTGTATTGAATAACTCATAACAGACACCCTGGCTACACGGCCAATAGATATTAAATTCTTTGATAAATACTGATGGATCATAGTAAATTCTATGACACTTGGCTCTGCAGTCTCGAATATAACCAGGTCTGTGCATAAACCAGTTGCGAATCTAATAACAGCTTCTTATTGTGATGGACGCTGGGCCCCTAAACCAAAAATCCATTTTCACTTTCGCGATACTTTGGATTCTCCTTGATAGACTCGATTTCATCCGCTTGTAACCACGAGAAACAATAATGGAAATGTTGAGAGGTGTGTGTCAAAAGAATATATAACATTAACGTCTGCTGTAAATAATGTCAAAACTTCGCCGCCGTTATTTGAAATAAGAACACTCTTATTGCTATATTTTCCATCAGTTTAGCAATCGTGCTCGGTATTGATCGATGCTAGAACACTTTGTGCTTGGACAGTTGTATGAAAAAAATACAGAAGGCATCCCGATTCTAAAAAGGCGCGTCATTCCGCACTAAGGAAGGAATTGTTAAGCCCAACACAGAGGCTGCAAATATCACAAGTAATATTTTCACTCAAACTATGGATCATGGACAAAGTGACTATGTAATTATTGTTTTCAGCACAAAAAACATAAGCAACCACAAAACATTGAACAGTTTTCTTAGAAATGTATTACCACTGGGTAAATTTACAAATCTAGTAATTCTTCTAAAGTCCGAGCCTGTAGATGAAGCCTTAGCAGTTCTATTGGAAAACAAAATAACTAGTTATATTAAAAATAACCCTAACTGTTCGGTGAAGTTATTAGTAGTAAAGAATGGTTTTCGCAAATCACTGGCAAACATCATAAGAAGTCATGTGCAGACGAGCTGCTCTACCCTCAAAAGAAACGTTTTGTTATCGCCTCCAATAATTCCAATTTATAAAATGGAACGTCGAGTGCATTGCAACAGTGAGAGTACTGGTGCTTTTTTACTGGCCAGTGGGAATCCGATACTAATCACCTAGTACGACATGATTCGGGTAAACAGAATGTATCGAAAAATTCCTTATCACACGCTCGCGCCTGTGAAGTGCGCACGAATGATTGTCGGTATAAACTTTTACATTTAAACGTACAGTGTTTGAGAAACAAGGTTGATGAACTTGAGTTGGTGGCAAAACAGCACAGTTATGACTTTCTTTGTTTGAATGAGCATTGGTTGACTTGCGATGAGATTAATACTCTGAATATTTGTGAATATATGAATGTGTCTAGTTTTTGCAGGTCAAGCAAAATCCACGGTGGTGTTTGTATTTATGTCAATAATAAGTTTAGTGCTAAGCCTTTGTGTGACAAAGTTTTAAACATTTCTGAGGAGTTACACTTTGAGGTTGCTGGTGTCACCTGTTTGGATGGCACACAAATTCTAACCATATATAGATCACCAAATGGAGACTTCAATATATTCTATAATAAGCTTCAAATACTACTTAGTACTTTAGACTATAAGCAAAATATAATCATATCTGGTGATTTTAATTTTAAATTTAACACTCACGACAAGCATGCCAATGTGATGTGTGATATTTGTGTTTCTTTTGGACTGTATCAGACTGTGAATGTGAATACTAGGCAGAATGCTTGTCTAGATAATATTTTCACCAATATAAACATGTCAAGCATAGTTGTAGAAGCCTTTGATACATGTTTTTCTGACCATTTAGGTATTGCATTTCATTTTAATTTGAAAACTCTAAAACCTGTTAGGAAGAGAATAAACTACAGGCCTGTCACTGATGAAGGTCTTTTCAAGTTATACAGTAAAATTGAAACAGTCGACTGGATCTTTTTGTCTGATATTAGTTTACCACTGACCACTAAACTCGAACGATTCATGAACATCTTAACAAATAATATCGCTGAGTGCTTGCCAATCAAATCTAGGTTAGTATCAGAGGGTTGTCGCAACAAAATCAACTGGTTTGATCACGAATTGGCTCATATGAGAGAGACTTTGGAACTAATAACACAAATTAATAAAGATAATCCCCAAGTAGTATCAAAGAAGGAGATTAATGTCTTCAAATCAAAGTACCGATCAGAAATCAGAATTAGGAAAAAAAATGCTCATGATAAATATATACGTAGAGCGTCAGATAAACAAGCAGCTATGTGGAACGTGATTAAATCCAATGGTGTGCAATCATCAAAAGCACATTCGTCTACTCTCAGCGCGAATGATTTAAACTCTTTCTTCGTCAGCATTGCTGATACCATTATCGCTGAAATTCCAGCTACCCAGTCGAACTTCAAAGATTTTATACAGACTAGTGATACACTACATTTCAACTTTCGAACTGTTTCATTCAATGATGTTCGAGACGCAATCAAAAGCTTAAAGAATTCTAAAAGTAAAGATCCATATGACATCGATGTTAAAATTATGAAGACCTTAAATAACTTGTTAGTATATCCTATAACAAAATTGATAAACATGTGTATAGAAAATAATGTCTTTCCTGCCTTATTAAAACTTGCAAAGATTGTGCCACTCTTCAAGAAAGGCTGTGAGAATGATCCATGTAATTTCAGACCCATCTCTATAATACCAATTATAGCAAAAATTTTCGAAATTCTTCTGAAGAATCAGATATGTGAATACTTCGAAGGTAACAATTTATTCTGTAACAACCAGTTTGGATACCGTACCAACAGATCAACGAAAGCAGCAATAAACAATTTTATCAGTTTCATCAACAAATGTCTGGAAGATAACATGTTTGCCCTCGCTAACTTCTATGATCTTACAAAAGCATTTGATTGTGTCCAACATCACATTTTGATTCAAAAGTTGTCGCTGTATGGTTTTAGTAATAATAGCCTGTCCTTAATTGCGTCTTATTTATCAGACAGAAGACAGTATGTTAGTTTTCAAAATTGTTTATCCAACAATGTGCATATTAAGCACGGAGTTCCCCAAGGAAGTGTCTTGGGACCGATTCTTTTTTTGATCTACATCAATGATCTGCCAAACTGTAGCATCAATCAGTATATATTATTTGCGGATGACACGACATCAATATCCTCCAATAGTAACTTTGATCATGTATTGCTCGATTCTCAGCAGCATTTTGACAACATTCAAAACTGGTTTAATGCCAACAGTTTGTCAATCAACATAGCGAAAACTCAATCTCTTCTACTCAGTACTCGTCCACATAGAAGTGATTTAGTAGAGCCCGTGAAATTTCTTGGAGTGATTATTGATGCAAGCTTAACTTGGGAATCACACATCACTTCTTTATCAAAGAAGTTATCTAAAATAACATATATGATACGTAGTTTAAATACCTACGTAACAAAATCGACTTTAATGACAGCCTATTATGCTTACTTCCAATCTAACTTGCAATACTGCATACTGATTTGGGGACATTCATGTCATGTATCGAAGGTGTTTGCTGTTCAGAGACGATGCTTGAGAATAATAGCAAACTTATATTTCAGACAGTGTTGCAAGACGACATTTATCGACCTAAAAATTTTAACTGTGCCATGCATATATATACTGGAATGTCTGATCCACGTTAAAAATAATTACGATGATTACAGAACTCCGAAAGAGATTCACAAATATAACACAAGGTTCAACAATGAATTAATACCAGAGTACACAAGACTTTCAAAAACTAGACACGGAAGTAATTATTTCGGTGTGAAATTTTTTAATGCGCTGCCCAAGTTTTGTCAAACACTCAACTCGACCATTTTTAAAGCAACTGTGAAAAGATATTTAGTGACGAAAGCTTTTTACAGCATAGATGAGTTTTTAAATAATGATTTTACCGACTTTGTTCCATAATTGTTGACTATTTATTACTTTGTTTTCGTTTGTTTTTTTTATGTGTTATTTTTGTATTATATTTTATCGTTCTCCAGACGTGTGTAAGGACATTTGAGTACAAACATGAAAAAATGATTAGTATTTCATAATTTTTTAACCATCTTATTTTATTGTTCCTCTAAATTTTAAAATAGTTTTATCAAGTTTTTTTTTACCTTTTATTGCCACTTTGTGTTTTACGTTTGTCTTATTTTCGTATTGTTTGTTACTTTTACTTACTCTTTTATGTTCTACTTTAAATGACCTGTGCAAACACATTTTTGTGTAATAGTACCAATAAATTATTATTATTATTATTATTATATACAAACAAGTTCTCGGAATGAGTGGTTTCGTAAAACGGCAACTCAAACTGTCCACCAGGAATCAGGACTTCCCCATGACATTTTTTGTTGAGGGCTATGAAAAGCAAGGTCTATGCGTGCTGATCTTAAGAATAAAACTATATTTACCATATAGCTGTAAGGTAGTGCAATACGAGATCTAAAATGACAGAAACAGCATTCTAATAGCGATCATTTCATAGACTCGTAGAAGCTTTTAACTAGCTGAAACAAATGATAAAGCTCAAACAGCTCAAACTTATAAAATTTCAAACTCCCGAAAGCACACCCCATTCCGCCAACACTCACACTTAAATGCAGCAAACATGCAAAAATGTTGAAATCGTTACCTAATCTCAAAATTTTCATAAACATCTCACCGGGGTCTTTTCACTGTTTCGTATAACTCCAGACTGAGATTTTTTTGCCCGTTTTACCCCTTTTTAAGGATTGTTCTACGTGTGAAGCTTTCCTTCTTGTCGATAGTGTTGTTCTCCTCACGACTCAGTATGTGAATTTCGTGTACACGGTAACCGCCCGCTGCTCGAGGCAAACTGAATTTCTTGTTTCTTGCTAGGAGGCTGTGTTTTTTGCATTATAATATACTTTTTCATTTTCTTCGGACTTTGAGTGTTTGGCGTCATGATGGAAAAAAGATACGAAGTGCACTGATGAAGAAAAATATATTTTCCCAATATTTTAGACGGAGACATTAAACGACTTTGGCACCCCGCTGAAACACTTGTACACTCTCTCATATACAGGGTAGGGTACCTGTTAACTATCCGAACACCCTGAAAACATTCGTATAAAAATTTCAGGATTTCAGAAAAGCGATTTGTCGATAACCTAAAATATGACCTTACAGGTTTGAGGTCAAGTTTATAAATTCAAAGAGTGCATTTTCATATATGAGATCAAGCGGTTATAAGTGGTTCAATCAGCACGACCTACCGTAAAGTCTGAAAAGTATACAAAGACCCCAAAAACTTAAATAAAACACGTTTATTATTATTTTTTTTTTAAAGAGTAAAGGTGTAGGATATCTGAAACGCAATTTGTCGATGACCTCAAATACGACTCATAGGTCATTTGGAGGTTTGTAAACTCAAATAGCAACCACTATTTCTGGCAGCAGATTCGTGTCGAGCTGGAGACTAAATTGCTTTTCAATATCCTAAAACATTTCTTGGAAACTTTTTCCCCAAGAAAATGAGTAGTTGCTAAGGCCCGTATCGTCAGTCGTCCCTACAATTATTGTAGGGCGCGTTTATGGCCTCCTTGATTGTCATAGTTTTCTACTTCTCCGTGTCAGCGCTCTATTTTGAGGTTATGTCACAAACATCTATTTGCATCAAATTGTGCTTGCTTTTGAGTTTTATCATGATTTATCAGCCTGAAATTTCCTACAATTTAAAAGGAAAACATATCTTAACAATAGGAGAGCGCTGACGCTGACACAGGACGAGTGTAATCTAGAAATTTTTGAAGGAGAGAAAAGAGTATGACAATCAAGGAGGCCATAAACGCGCTCTACAAATATATCGACGACTGATGATACGGGCCTGCCTTTGGGGTGTATTTTTCAGACGTTACGATAGATCATACTGATTGAATCACTTATGACCGCTTGACTCCATGTATGAAAATGCATTTTGATGTAGAATCTTGAGTTCGGCACAGATCTTGAACTTGACCTCTAGTTCATATATGTCATCGGCAATTGCTTTTTGGATACCCTGAAACTCTTCTTAGAAACTGTTTAAAAAAAAATGCGTGGTTGCCAAGTTTTCGGGGTAGTCGATTATTTATTATCCCTTCAATCAACAAAAAAGCAGTTCTCTTCTTTCCATCCACTACATTTCTTCTAATTTTAACGCTGATTTAGACGCTAATGTTACTCGTAGATTTTACTTGGGATTAATTCGTCATGCAAGACGTAGTGTTTGTGGTATCCGACGTCATGTGGTCGTCAAGCAATTGATGGAAGACGACAACGAGAATGGATGATTTGGACCACACACACTCGCTACATCTTTCATGACGATTTAAGGAACACGTGCGAATAGCCTGAGTTTCTATGCTAGACTTTATACGAGGGTGGTCCCAGAAGTAGCCGGCCTGACCTAGAGATGGCGATAGTTGTTTGAAAAATATCATTGTATTAGAAAGTATGCAACCTATAAAGCATATGTGTCATTTTTGAAGACGCCACGTTGTTTAGTATATATATATATATCAAGGTCCCACCGATAGAACCCCAAATAGAGGACGACTCGTAAAACCGGAGAAAGGTACACGAGTAAAAATGGCCACTTCCGTTACTGCAGCCGTGCTTCCGCGTCGTGATTAGCTTACACCAACTTTCGGCGGGGCAAAATTCCGAGGGGGGAAGCGCGAAACTTTAAAGGACAAAAATGGGTGGGAGGTGGAGTTTTGCGTCCGATAGGAACACAAGTTGCGGGAGCGTCCTGTCCACGTACCGGCACTGGGGCCGGAAAGAGTGAGGGTACCTGGACTGGGGAGGTGGTGGGATCGCATAGGAATTTGTGTTCCTGTTCCTGTTGTTTAGTATTTATTTGGCAGCCATCAATACTGAACGTTTTCAGTGAATTTGTGAAAATGGAGAAAATTGGACATCGTTATGTGGTACAATATTTTTATTTCAAAAGACTCAGCCCAACCAATATAAAAGCTGAACTGGATTCTACTCTGGGTGAGTCTGCTCCTTCGACCAAATGAGGTGACGACTCCAGAAATGGGAAGAAAATTCACAAAGCGGTACTGAATGATCATCGACTGAAAGTGCGCGAGCTAGCAGACATAGTAGGCATTTCAAAAAGTGCGGTTCGTCGCATATTATCTGAAAATTTGGACATGAGAAAGCTGTGTGCAAGATGGGTACCGCGATTGCTCACAATCGAGCAAAAACAGTGTCGTGCATATGTTTCAATTGAATGTTTAGCGAAGTTTCATAGCAACAAAGCAGAATTTTTGCGCCGTTTCATAACAATGGATGAAACATGGGTCCATCACTTCACACCCGAGACAAAAGAACAACTCAAAAGGGACAACCGGCTCCAAAGACTATCTTGAAAAATGTAAACCTATCAACAACGAGTATTATGCGAACTTATTGCAACGATTGAGCGATGAAATCAAGCAAAAACGGCCGCATATGGTTAAGAAGAAAGTGTTTTTTCATCAACACAATGCACCAGCTCACAAATCCGTTATTGCAATGGCCAAAATTAACGAATTAAAGTTTGAATTGCTACCTCATGCACCCTATTCACCAGATTTAGCCCCCTCGGATTATTTTCTGTTTCCAAACTTGGAAAAATGTTCAAAGATTTTCCAACGATGAAGAACTGATGTCGGCAGGTAATGGCTATTTTGAGGAGCAAGACAGTTCTTATTATAAAAAGAGTATCGAACTTATTGAACATCGCTGGAAAAAGTGTATAGAGCTCAAAGGATATTATGTTGAAAAATAAATACATTTTACAAAATTTTTGTGTTTTTTTCGTTGGGTCGGGTACTTCTAGGACCACCCTCGTATCTAAACATTAAACGATATAGTTAAAAGCATTCAGTATTACTGGATATGTTTTCACCGTATGTAGCCAAGCGCTTGTATGCCGCATAGCCAAGGTGTAAACGGGAACAGAATAGCATTTAAGCACTTTACCAATGGTGGAATCAGGGCCAATGTGTCCTTAAAAAAGGCGTGACAATATTAATTTAACTAAGAGCAAAGGACATAAGGACCGGTCTGCCAGACAATGAATAGAAGAATAAGTATCAATATCAAGCAGTAAAAGTCTAAAATCCTATTAAACTAGATCTTCACCGAAGGCAAACATGAATCTATAGGTATTTTCAAAGTTTTTGACGGATCACAGTAGAAATACAGGAATGAGTTTCATACATGCCTCTCCCTCACACATGCGTTATGCAATCGGCCTCTATGAGCGGACGCTTGCTTGTATAAGCTAAAAAACTACGTTTTTTAGTTTTGTCTCATATCTTGTCAACGTATGAGTGCATGTCTCTGTCAATATGACAACTTGCTTGTCATAAGCGTGTGATTTGTGCTTACCCATGTTATTCTTCAAATTAGAGACGTAGTAGACCTGTATAATTCAGTTAACGTGTGTGTGTAAGAGCGAGTAGCAGTTACGTTACGGTCGGCTTGCGCAGTGTGTAATTGTACTTAGGGGAGTTAAGCTACGTATATGATACCATTAGTTACTCTGTTTACTTATTTCTTATGGCATTATAACGTAACCTCCGAAAATCGTGAAAAGACCTGTATATAAACCGTGACCATCTTATTGACTTTAAAGTAGCTATTATGTTAGGTATTTGAGCTGACTAAGTCCTGGTTTGAAGATGTTATCGTATTTTATTAGTACTAACATTTAGCTAGGACAAAATAATTTTTTTTTGGTGATCAGATATCATATAATTAATATAATATTCTAGATCAGATATTTTTAGTCATAAAATATCCTTGTAGAATATGTGAATACCTCAACTAAATGGATGCAACTAATATAAAATCTGGCCGAGTATCAAAAAAGAAAAAGTTATCAAAGACTCATTCAAAAGAGAATTCCACAATCATCGAACTCCGTGCAAGATACGATAGGTTGTGGAAGGAGTCTGCACAGGTGGATGAAAAAATTTCTGAGCTTGAGAGCTCGGGTGTATCGCTAGATCTCAAGCCTCAGATGGACGCGCTGCATCGTTACAACGAGATGAAGGACCTAACTCAGGTAATTAAGATTATGCTTTTCGATGGTGCGAATAATTCTATTTCACGGGCTTCATTCCAAACGGGTTGATGGATTTTGACTTGTGATGTGTTGTTGGATTCATCTTAGCAGTGCGAGTGACGCTGGGTATATTAAAATCTTATAAAAACAAACTGGCGGATTTTAATAGAAAATTCCAGCCTTGTAATTTCTATTTCACAGTCTACAGCACACATTCTTTGCACAATTGAATCTTAATTCTTTTCATTTGCTGCAGTCGAGTTTTTTCTTTTTTCTTCCAATAATGAGGGGCAAATATCGTCGATTAAAGGTAATAGGTACCAGGTGCGCCATATTTTATATCGGTATTCAAACATCGAATGACTTTAATATTTACCAACCGAGTGATTTGGTTATACGTGTTTCTGAAACGTCAATTTACTACAATTTTAGTTATGAATCGCTTTACACCGAAACAACGCGCCGAAATAGTCACAATGTACATTGAAAATCGTCGTTGTGTTAACGCAACGTGCATATCGTCGACAATATCGTGCCAAACAGGCACCGTCTGACAACACTATCCGTCGTTTGGTTTCGAATTTTCTTGAGTACGGGATAGTGGGAGATCGTCAACATACCGTTCATCAACGACCAAGACGTTGCAATGATTTGGTTGAAGGGGTCAGAGACAGCGTTGTCCAGAACCCAAAAGTGGCGTATCGTCACCGCGCTCAGCATTTTGGTGGATGATTTGCATTTGTTTCCTTATAAGGTGCAGTTAACACAAAAAATATTGCCAACTGACCGTCCACGTCACTTGGAATACGCCCAAATAGTCGCTCGCATGGTTGATGCTGAACCTGATTTTTGGAAACAAATTGTGATGACCGACAAGGCTCATTTCACGCTCTCTGGCGGCGTTAATAAGCAAAACTGCCGCATTTGGGGGACGGAAGATCCACAAGAGATCCACGAAATGCCGTTGCATAACCGGTAAATGACTGTTTGGGCCGGCGTTTGCGCCAAAACCATCATTGGGCCATTTTTCTTCAACGAAAACGAAACAGTCCATGGAAATGGATATCGGTGGATGCTGGCTCATTATGTCTGCCCACAAATGCGTGAAAAAGGTCTTGATGGTTACTGGTTTCGTCGTTTATATACCGACATAAAAGATGGCGCACCATGTACTTATTAAAATAGTTCATATATACATATATTTGCCGGAAAATGATCCAAACGCAGAATAGCCCAGAAACAATTCGTACAATGTTACGACACTTAAAGTCAAATTATGTTGATTAGAAAGATATCAAAATTATAGTATAAATTGCAAAATGTTCGTTTTTTTTTTTCATTTTAATTCAAATTTCATTTTAAAGTATGCTAATAACGAGATTCGTAGAATGGTCATGTGTTTTTCTTACCTTCAAGCTTCAAATAATTAACAGCTTAGGATGACACAAATGATAATATTGCTGCTCTTATCCCGCCTCATAAGAACTGATCTTGATACAGGACAATAATAGTATAAATGAAAAACTTTCACAAAATTACTCTTTATTAAATATTTCTCAAATAATCATATTTGAAAAACATGCTGCTAGAAAAATATAAGAATAAATTTGCGATAAATAATTACACCAAAAGTTCAGTAGTGACTAGACAATATATTTGAAAAAACGTTCACACTTCAATATACAAATTGTTATTGTACCAAATATCGGTGCTGCTATTAATAATTCACACCTTACTTTGATGGTCCTTAAATGCTTTTGTAGGTGGTTCTGGGGTATGTAGCAGATGCTGAACATGTAACAATAGCGGAATTGCACAAGAGGTTCAACTTGCCTATGGATTAATGTTTATGTGGTAAGTGCTCACTTCTTACAATTAACATTAAATAAAGCAGACACAATTGTGTATTATTTTCGTCAAAATTCATGCCGCACGAGTGATAGATACGAAGAGTGGTAGAAAAATATCTGCATTGCCCATAACTTATGAACCACCCACTGGTCCAACAAAAAGCGTGGTATTTATAAAGCAATATATAGTTTTTACATCCAAATTTCAGTTATGATTATAAGCATAGGTTAATGACAAATTTTGGCCAACGTCTTGGTGTTAAATCAATAAAAATTTCATTCTCAAGAATCCATGAAAGATATCATGGACTTGCATATTTTTATGTTGGAGTATGAGCTCTTGGTTTCATGAAATCTGACACTGCTAAGTATGTATTTGAATGACGATACAACGATTATATCGCAATCACAATTGTATGCAAGGTCCTCATTTCATAGTGCGAAACCCTGCAGGCTACGAAATTATGAAAAAAGCTCCGTTGAATTTTAAAAATGTAGGTACTTAAATTGTTCAACGGCGGCTAAAATCACCGCACTTATAACATTTACAATCTGACGGTTCTCTTAGTTTGACATCCATGGCGTTGTTGCCTTCATTTGTCAGTCTCATTCCGTCTGGATCATAGCAATGTGTCAGTGTTATTACTCTTTCTCTGAGGAAGCTTTCTCGGCAACAGTAACACTCCTGTAACAAATAAATTGGTTATTATCACAATTTGAGACATCTGCTCTTTGACGATAGTTTAACAGGTCTTTGGAAAACGTATGAGAATCAAATCCAACTAACCCATTTCAGTTTTACTATGATAAGAAGTTTTTTCAGATCAGTCCAAAATCAGTACAGTTTAAAATCTAAAGATTGGCAACGTCGTTTCTACTAAATATGTGAAGTGATTCAAATACCAATTCTCGGATATTTTTTTTATGAAATTTATTCTCCAAGAAATTAACTCATCATCAAAAAATGGTCAAGATAATAAATGTAGTCTTCACCAGTTAGCTGATGTGCTTACAGTATCTGCGTAACTTTTATATACAGAATGTTAGTGCTACATGATAATTTATAATAAAACTTTGTTTAAACTGAAGCCGATTATAGCATTGCCTTCTTCTAATGTTTTATTTATTCTCTTCTCACTACATCATCAAGCAGTGTATTTTCCTCACACAAACCCAGCTCAGAAGTAGCAGTATTTGTGATAGTCATGAGATTACAGCGTTATCGATAGCCCGACTTCCGCTTGACAAATCTAAAATTATTTTCCGGTAGGAAAACATGATAATGTTAATATTATTTCACAAATGTTCTCCTCTTGTAATAGGAAATAATGAAGGGTATTAAAAATACAATTTTGAATTTTATGTAAAAACATATACAGTTGTAAGGCTCTGAATATTTGAGTCGCAGAACTTCCGAAAATATTTCATTCACAAAATAATCATCCTAGTCTCACAACCGTTATTTTTTTGTTGCGTGGATTTCTCAGAAAAGTAAACCAATTTGGAGAATAGTGATGCCAAAAAACTCAAATATAACCTCAATCCCTACGTTAAATACCAAATACCTTCAAAAATCCTGTAGGTGTTATCACAGAGGGTTGGACCTGACTTTTGCATGACCCTTCACATTTGTTTACAGCTATCTCTCCATTGCAAGTTCTGACCAATCGTCCCAGCTCATCATATTCCTCTGCAAGAATAGTACAAATATGGGAGGCAACGTCTCCTGAATATTCGATAAGTCCTGGAGTATCGATAGTTATGACAATTGAGTTTCCGATCTGAATTTTCATAAATCGATGCATATTTCATATACTTTCCATTTCCATAAAAAATATAGTTTGTTGGAAACTTCCAAAAATTAACTACTTATTTCTTCTTCTTTCACCAAAACATTAATTCTGTTATATTAGCATTTTGACAATTTCTTTTACTATTATACCCAAAATTAGTCAGACTTGAAAAATATGCTAAGTTCAGGGATGCTCTAATATTTTTATAGTGTTTCATTGCTTTTAATTAAATTTTTAAACTTCAGTCACTGAAAATATAAAATGAATAAGCTTACCCTTCGTTATGTGTATCTCGGACGGTAACGTCTCGCAGCTCTCTTCCGACATCTCGTTCATACAAACTACCTTGGAAACACAAAATATTGCAGCAAAAATATAGAACATGTCGGCCGGTAGATAAGCCTACTGGTCGGAAAAGTCTGTAAACAACCCCTTATATATGCTCTGGGAAAACAGTTTTGAGCACGTTCGTTCACCTCCCTTCGACTCGGAAACGTTAACATTGCTTTCGAATTTTTGTGTTTTGTTTGAAATCAGTTATGTTCCAACGACCACTGCAAACTGTAACATAAACGTTAGTTTGTAAGATGATAGTCTAAATAGTAGTTAATTAATTTCCCAAGGGTGAGTTAATGCATTAGCGAAAAGGATGTTGACCCCGAAATCGAACGTAGCCCCCCTGGCGTTAGTACAAGGGTATAGTTTTATGCTAAATCGACATTTTTTCAACGTTTATTAGTAACAGCGTCATTTTTTAGTTACATGGATATTGCGTAAATATGAGAGCGGTTGTTTTTATTGCTCCTTTTTTATTTGTAACAGTGGAAATAATATAGAGTTAGGTATAAACTGGATTACAGTTAATCATAGGGAAGGCCAGTCAATTCGCAATGTAAGTGACCAAATACGTCGTTAAAGTCCGAAATGTTCCCAAGTTTCGGACTCTGTTTATGAGTCTTGTAGTCAATCTTAGAAATGGTCAACTACCTCGTGAATGGAGTATTTTTTACATAGACTACAAATAGATTATTATATATTTGTTTCTCAATGAGTTTATCCATATTTTGCCGCATTCTTGTTAAAATAACGGAAATCAAATTCGCACATTAAAAGAGAATTCATGTAAATCCTCAAAATCGCCTGCCGAAAGAATCAGCTAATACAAGTTTGATCTTAATTCCGGTTATTTTCATCACATCTCAGGCAAGTCTATTATCCAACGCAAAGTAGACGCTAGAACCTATTACGTCATAGATTTGTTGCGAAAATGTACCAGCTGACGATACTTTTTGAATGCAAAATACTGATATTCCATGGAAATATCAAAGATTGCTTAATGTCCGAGCTTTCGTCATACCAAACCATAGGATCGAAATAAAAGAGACTCAATCAAAGTGTTGAAACTCGAGGGTACTTTTTATTTTAGGCGAAGCGACGGATATTTCGTATGAAACGTTTTTCCTACAAAAAATATTTTCCATAAAAAACTGTGACAATGCCAACTCTCGCCAATCGCGGTACTACCGATCTCTACGTACGGCAGTCGACATAAGCTTTGCCGATTCGAACCAGGTCTCAAGAGAGTTTTTCTCTCGGCTATGATTGTTGTAATTGTCGGTAGGTGATAGATCTCGGGCCGTCGGGCGTGGAGGTACCACTCGATGGATCTCTTAAGGTGGGCCCAGAATGTGTGCTTGTTACAACCACACTTGAGTCCGTGTGTCGTCTTTCCTTTCCTCTGAATGTCCCTATAGCCACACAATACCCACGGGTATTTCGGCCTTGAACCTGCGTGTTGGCTCAAATATAAAAAATAATGTGAAATCACTGTATTTTCAGTTATTAATAATACAAAAATATTTTTTTTATGAATCATCAGCAAAACGTACCATGTCCGACACGTCAGAAGACACTCTACAGTCCGAGAAGGAAGATAACATCTGTCGGGACTTTGCTCGAGGATTGTGTGATCGTAAATTCTGCAAATACAAACATGAGACAGATCCTAAATCGTTGAATTTTTGCCATGATTACCAGAATAGCATGTGTCCCAGGCCACACTGCAAGTAAGTTATGTAATAATAATTCAAATAGTATAGTCTTTTTTATCTGCTCATAAAATATGATGTCTCTCATAATCTAAAACAGTGCAAATAACCTCGTATTTGCTTGTCGCTTTGAAGGCGATCAAGGGTATTGCAAAGCTACTTCTTTTCTTTTTAGATACTATTGGCTATTATTCCTTACAATTTCAAACGTTTCTAGGTTTATACATTGCGGCTTAGATGAGGTAGATGAATACAAAAGAACGGGTCAAATGTCCACTCAAATATTGGCAGAGGCGACCAGAAAAAATCAACTTCCCGGGATTCCGCCAATATGCCAACAATTCAAAAAAGGCATGTGTCGTCGGAATTTTTGTAAATATAGGCATATTACTAAGGAACAAGAGGAGACTGAGATATTAGCGATGATACAGAGCGAGCAAACTGCTGTAATAAGTAATAACCCCAACGAGATTCCGTTTAATGGTATAGATGCCTTTGCAACCACTAACGGTGGTAAGTAAGAACTGGTGTACCACAAAGATCTGTTTTGTATCTTAGACTGACTGCACGCGTTAAGTTAACTGGCTTGTAAACAGGAAAGGTGACAAACTCCAAACATTACTGCGAACGGCCAGCTGCAAATTATTTTGTATTATTCGAGTGGGTTCCATAACGAAACATTCGTTTATTATACAGGGTGTCCGCCCTTTTTAGACACAACTACGCTTTATATAACAAAGCTAATTTGTGGTGAAACGTGAGGGAACAAGTAAAAAAGTAAATGAAAAAGTACTCACTGTTCAATTGAATTGAATTTCCAAGTACGGCTTTGTCGTAAAATTCGTATTTACATCGTAGTCGTACGTCGTATAACTGTACGCTGGCGCTGTGGACGTGATCGACGGATAGGACAGGACTGGCTTCGGTTTGGTTCAGGTTTGATAGAGCTTGCGGAGCCCAACATCTCGGATCTCTTGAGACCATGCTATTAAGAAAATCCTCTTATTTTCTCAAGATCTACATGTCGTGCAAAAGGAAAACCCTAACTTTGCGGACACCTTGTATAGATCTGGTAATTCTATGACATACTAAATTTTTTCATTGATTTTTCCAGGTATAAGGAGGAATGGTGTTGATTTTGAGGAGTACAAAGATAATGGCCTTTCATGTCCGAAAAGACGTTTTTTACCCCCTCAAGAACAAGATGTGTTGCAATACGAGGTGAACCAAACTAAACCATCTTTCAAAGGATATTACACCGGAAGTCCACCTTCGCCTATATTGAACAGACTCGACGCAAGGTATATCAAAATAATTTCTTTAATGTTCCATTGAATTTTAAATAGCAGATTCTAAATCTTATTTTGGTGGAAATGTTAAATGAATATGGTATTGATAAGGTATGACTTTTGTTGAGTTCTCTAAGTAAAGAAAAAACTATCTTCATATTTTTTTAGGACATTTATGTTGGAAGAAGAAAACAGCATGTTACACAAAGAGATCGCTCAGTTAAAGAAAAGGGTAAGACAGCTTTGCAAATATGTAAATCAGTTATAACAGCAGCAGTTATAAGTTTTAGTCAGATACGACGTTTTTATCTCGTACAATTAAAAACGAGAACGGTGATACATCAAATTGTCACGATTAAGATTTGAGTGTAAGTTGGTCGGCGCTGAGCAAACTCGCTTGTGTGCTACCAAAGGCTGATAACGGTAAAACAGAGATACACACAAACAAACACTATTGAATATAAAATATAAAAAGTGGTACTTACTCTCTAGTCTAATCATATTAGCAAATTTCCCGTAAATAATTGTAAAGTCTGGTTTTATTATTATTATCAAGTAGTTTTTGAGAATTTCTAATTGCTTATCCGAAAGAGCATTTAATAGCCGATATCAATCACAAACCATTTAGAAAGATAAATGTTATTTTTATGCGCAAAACAAAGGTTACATTTTTGTCTTTTAAACAAATTCAAACATTTCGTATTTGTGAGTAATTGAACAAATGCGCTAGGATATTCGAAAAACATACGTCACTAAGCGGATGTGTCATATCATCATTTGTTGCGAATTACTCACAAATACGAAATGTTTGAATTTGTTTAGAAGGAAAAACCTAACCCATCATCTTCGCATATAAATAACATTTATGTTCCTGAATGGTTTGAGCTTCATATCGGGAAGGTAAACTAGTGTATTTTGCTATAAAATTCCCTTTGAACTAACCCTGTATATTGCCGGAAGTCAGGTATTTTGGGAGAAACAATTAGAAATTCTGAAAAACTACTTGACCAATCTACTCCAATTTTGTTGTGGTTATTCAGAAGTACGAATCCTAGGAACTTGAAGAATTTCAAATATCTGCGAGAAACCATCGTCGCATTACCAACAAGTGTCAAAACCTACAGTTTGCCTCGGTTTTCGCCATAAGTTTTTTGCTATTAGTCGGATCTTTTTACGCGACGTCTCATTTTGTAGGTCTCATAAATGCCTAAAAATCTTATATAAAGAGTTTTTTCGTTCCTGCCAACATTTTCGATTGAATCCAAAAAAAACGTTTTCTCATTATTTGTTGTCGAATAAAAAGTTCTTCAGCAAAAATTGGTGTACCCATTTTATGCGTTCATGTTTTAAATACTCTGTTGAACAACTTGCATCAGTAAAACCGGACTCAAGAATTATTTCGCAAAACATGGGTATTTTCGTCTGATTAGACTAATCGGCTTAATCATCAGAATCGACCATTGCGAGAGTGAAGAGCGACTATCTGTTTAGAACTGTACAGTATTTCAATTCGCGTCGACAGCCGAGTCACTGTGACCGCTTGATGCCGTCGATGCTGGCGACTTTGTAGATGATGGTCTACTTGCTGTTGAACAAATAACCTAGGGGCCAACCCTAGTTTGTGCTGATGATTGCCTATAAGCATGAAACAGCTGTACACGGTTGGTCCTCTCTTGGTAAGACGAACAAATACAGTATTATTAGTTTTCATTGGCGCAGTGGTGACTTGGCTGACGACGCGAATTTACAGTTGGATGGATTGTTGATAATTACTCTCGTTCTGGTCGATTCTGGTAATAGATGGCACATTGTTCTGTCGGGTTTCACCTTGATGATCTTCCATCAAGGTTATGATACGAAGCGGATATAATTTGACAGCTAAGATAGAGAACTTTGTTTCTGGCAGGTGTCGGACCTAACGGCCACCAACGAATTCCTGTTGGACCAAAACGCCCAGCTACGCATGGGCGGCAAACGGCCTGGGAACATCGGTCGTCCAGGTGGGCCGGACCCGAGCAGCGCCGCCCAAGCGGTTGCTCAGGCAGCTGCCCAGCAGCAGGCCACCGGAACTGTCATTGCCAGTGTTGCCACGGTGCCCGTCTCGCTAGCCACTGTCTCCACGTGCAATCCGGTGTCGGGCAACCATTCGGTAGGTATTTCGGTTGCACTTTCCTTTGAGGTTGCTTTAGATGAATGGAAGTTGGAAAGGTATTTGGCCCGTATATCTTGTATGAGGATCGTGTCATGCACGTAGCATACCTTTGTTGGAATAAATGGCGGCAGATACTCTATGAACTGTGATTTAGAAACAGATATCGAACCCTAAAGTTTCGGTAGTCCGCTTTACCTGTTTTTATCTCAATAATTTGGTCTGGATATCAGGATACCTATTTTTCAAATCACTGCTATCACAAAGTACAAGATTAGTGACATTAGAAGTGTTACACCCAGAAAAAATATTTTCAACTTGTTTTTTTGGAAACATAGTGACTATATTTAAAGCATGCTGTGGCAACAATGTCAACGTTTTATCTTTGTTTTTGTTTACCTTTGTTAAAATGTTCTTTTAGTTTTGTGTAAAAAACTAAGACAGAGCTGAGTAGACCAGATATTTTTAGGTATTGCCCTTTCATTTACTAGTGTTAAGCATAACAAAATCCTCGAGTTCGCAGACGTCCAAATTATCACCATGCTAGCGACTTTGACAGGGGTAGAACTATTGCCTATCGAGATGTTGGTTTGTCCTATCGCGAAATTGACCGCTGCATTAATTGTACTGCAATCACTGTAATGCGTTTGTGTCGTATGTGGATAGAGGAAGGTAGAGGAACACGAGGAAGGTCAACTGGTGCACCGAGGCGTACCACAGAACGTCAAGATGATAAAGGTAGACCTGTTACTATGCGTACACTCTATCGCCGCATTCGAGCCACGGTTAGTGCTTCCTCTGACTGCGGACCACTGTCGTCAACGTTTGAACTGGAGCAGAGAACGGCAACATTGGGAGGCAGAATGGCATAATGTCATCTTCAGCGACTAATCGCGATTCTGTGTAGGTACGCTCGATGGTCGTAGAAGGATAAGACGCCGCCATGGAGAACGGCTTGATATTGGATTTGCTGTTGAGAGGAAAGTACACAGGACTGTTGGAGTAGTGGTTCTCTTTGTTCAAGGCAATATGACTGCTGCGCGTTATGTTGATGATGTCCTACAAACCACTTTACTGTCGTTATCTAAAGAGCCGTCCACACGTCCTTTTTCAGCAGGACAATGCATGTCCCCATATTGCTCGTCATACTACGGACTTTCTTCAAGAAGCAGGCGTTAATTTTTTGCTGTGGCCACCCCGTTCGCCGGATTTAAATCCCATCGAACGTGTGTGGGATGTGATGGGGAGGAGACTATCCACTTTTCACCATCCGCCACAGACTCTGCCACAGCTAATCCACGAAGCTCGAGTTTCTTGGAATGAGGTGCCACAACCAGACATCGATCATCTCACTTTGTCGATGCCTGGACGTATACAGGAGTGTATTCAGCTGCGGGGTCGGCCAACACATTAATTTTTTTCTCATTACTTGTCAATAAAATTTCGCGAGCATGTTATTGTTTGATTGCCAAAATATCAAGCTGAAGAAATTATTTTTTCTGGGTGTAACACTTCTAATATCATTTTGAAAACTAATCAGCCATATCGCTGGAACGCCACGCACTCTGGGTAACGAGCGATAACACCTCACAAACAGACCATGGGGATTATAATGAATGGAAGAACGATAAGTTCTTGGATATAAGAGGGGAGATAGGGTTCCTTTGGTTGATTTTAATTCATAATATGGTAGCAATCATAACTCTTGAACAATTACATCATAAATCGATATACAAAATTTGTCATTTTGGCATTTATGTCAACAGTTGTACTAAAACGGCACGCTTACAAAATGGTTAATGTAACACTTGCAACTTATCTTGTGGTTATCATGTTGATGGGACTCCATTGTCATTATACTTTAAAAAGGCTACTGTGGTAGCCGAAATGTCGTAAAATAAACAGTAATTGAAACTTATGTGATTTGATTTAGTGGCCAGACAATGGAGGTTACTAAACGAGTGGGATACGCATATACAGGGTGTTTCCCAACTATGATACGAACTGTCATAGGGTGATTTATTAAACCGTTTTCATAATAAAAGTTCGTATAATTATATGTCCGGAGTTGCCGCGGTTTTGAGATTTATTTCGGTGAAGTTTGAAAAAACGGTATCTATAAAATATCATAAATATCATTTAACGAATTTGCTTGAAATTTGGTACAATTATTTGAAGTAATGTGGCGCTTATTTAGCTCTAACTAGATTGAAATTATTAGGACCAGTTACGTCTCAGTGGAAACCATAGCCATATTATTGAGAAACAAATTAAGACAATGACTTTTTTAGTCATCTCCTGTTAACAACAAATGATTGCCAAATCTAATCAAGTACCTACTTACTTGCTTTGGAGACCAGCTCACGGTGATAGTATTTAGTGTTGTCATATCAGCAAAATTTAGAGTTGTCAATTAGCCGTGATTCCATCATAAATAATTTGTCCAACGCTGAAATGGATGACATATTTCATTATGGATTAACTCATGAAATGCGGGCTAAGTACAGATAATTTACCAGGACATATATTCTAACAAGAGTAATTCCATGTGCCAAAACATGCAAAATTATGTGGAACTGGGAATTTCAATAAAAATACAGCTGGTTGAGGACCAGAAACAGCAACAACGCATGAACTAGAAAACACTATACTTGATGCAATAGACGAAGATCCTTTAAATAGTACCAGGATGATTGCACTGCAGCTTCAAGACAGCCCAAAAATCTTTTGGAAAGTTCTAAAAAAAAACCTGTACCCTTATCACATCAGCGGATTCCAAGCTCTACTTCCTCGGGATTTTCACGCAACATTAATGTTTTGCAAGCGGTTGATTCATACGATATTTGTTTACCAAATATTTTATTTTCGAACTAGGCAAAATTCAAAATTTTCACGGCATGCTATTATGAAGTTTCACAATGACCATTTTTCGGCCTACGAACATCCCCATTCCATTTTCCACCAGTAAGATTAACACGTGAATTCTACACGGACTTTTTTTGGGATCATTTATTCACGTACCCTATTCACTAGATTGGACGTGCTTTACCTCAAATTCGGCCAGCTCTCAGAACTTACATGAAGCATCTTTTCTATTTATGGAGTCATCTGAAGTCTCTCGTTTATAAAACTCCCGTACCAGGTGTGAATGAATTGAGGAATCGGATAATTGACATTGACATATGCAATGTCATAAGGAATACTCCAGATATTTTTAAATGCGTCAGGCATTCAATAACAAATCGATTTCAATCATGTATTTTATCAGAGGGTGGACATTTTGCTCATTTACTTTAAGAGCGAAATTAATTTTTATTTTTTATGTTGTCCATTACTAGTTGGGAGACTAAGTTAAAGTGATTTCTTTTTTATTTCTCGAAAACGGAGCTAGATATGAAGAAGACGCAAGAGACCAAAACGTTATGTATTAATTGCTTACTCTAAAAAAAAACATAAAAACTACACATCATTGACGTACTTTTTTCTCAATAATATGACTGAGGTGCCCACTGAAACGCCACTGGATCTAATAATTTCGATCCAGGTAGAGTTTTTTTTCAACTTCAACGTCCTCTATCTAAGAAATGAAGTAACTCTGGAATGTGTTCGCGGGACCTTTTTTCGTAAAACGACCTATTGAGTCATCCCTCTGAAGATTCGTACTGTACTTGGGAAACTCTCTGTATATACGATATAAACTAGTATAGAACTGAGTCGATCCGCAATCTGCTGCTACGTATCGTGCTGTATACGATCATATTATGATACTGTATAATGGGCAATCACCTTTATTGCTCTCAGCCGGCCACGCAAAGTGATGTTTGCGAAGACCGACCGAAACTGACGGCGTTGCCGCTTTAGAGTGTAGGAACATCAATGCTGATTGGTCGAATCCTCGACCTCTGTTTCTAATGCAAAACTTTATAGATTCTTATTTTGTTTGTTTTTTCATAGGTGAGCATTGCTGGATGCCCAACAGTTAGTATTGCACCAGCTGCCGCTGCTCAAATTTTAGCACAACCGAGTCAGCAAATCTTGGGTAAGTAAATGTTTTAGCATTCCTTGATTGATTTGGTTGATGTGGCCATGACTTATATTTTTGTTATAACACCAATGGTTTCGCGTCCTATGATTTTTCAATCTTTGGTGATTTTAGCATATAGTTTATTTTCTAATAACGTACTTGATTGCTTTCTTGTATATCTTGCAACCACGTGAAGAACCCGTACTAAAGAACAATGCTGCAGAACAAAGTGGCATGATTTGAAAAGGGTCACATATAATGGTGACCTTGAACATGACCTTGAGTATGACCTTCAATTATTTGAAGGTCAAGATGGAAACCCCTATTTTTACACAAAAAGTTAAGTTTTTGACCAAGTATGTCCACGACATGATAATGACCATCAAGATCATTTGAAGATCAAACGAATTTTCAACGGGAAATCGAACTCATGTAGTACTCTGTGGCAACGCGTATACAGGGAAAACCAAATTTGTCTGACAGCTTGCGTTCAATGTGTACGAAAGAGAAGCGCGAGAAGTGTGCATCAATACATGTTAGAAAGAGATAGAAGCCAGCTGAAGAGCGAAGGTAATCACCACATTGTCTAGCAATGGTGACGCAGAAGGTCGAGCAATCTGCCGCGTTGCCAATATGTTACACCAGAAAATGTTCTACAATAGATTATATAGGTTACTGTCAAACACAAGAAGGAGGTCTGTTCGAACATTTAATTTAATATTTTGTTTTCATTTTGATTAGAATTATTTTTTGATGCGACTTATTGTTTTAATTTATTTTAGAATTATCTTTGATTTCCACGGAAGCTGATAAAATCAACATTCGACCACTCGCTGTCGCAAAATGTAATAAATACCATTACGCAATACAAATTATCACTGCCTGCGTGTGCGCAGGTGAAAACCATTTCGAGGCAGGACGACACTCCCTAATGAGCGCTAGATGGGTACTTACCAGTATCGCTCATCTATGATCACGGAGGCTGAAACCTTGCCGTGGAGTGTACGATATGCGATGTTGCCGGGCGAACCAATGATGCAATGTTGCAGAATTTGTGGCGATCCTGACCTTTCATTTCAACCTAAAATGAAATTGATCCTAAACAGATTCGACACAATTCATAAATGTGTACGCTCCAGATAAAACCGTTACTTGGACGTTGAGAATAAACTAACTCTTATTTTCAACATGCATCTTAATTCAAGGAATTTGTGCAACATATTGGCAACTTAGCACATTGCCGCGTCAGCGTTGTTAGGCAACGCGGTGATGATCTTCGCTATTCAGCCGGCTTCTATCTCTTCCTGACATGCATAGTTCTCTCTCGTACACATTGAATTCAAACCGTCAGACAAATTTGGTTCTCACTGTATGCATGAACCAATGTGAATGTATGTACACAACAAATTTCACCACGACTTCTAAAGCATTGTAATTATCCTTTGATACCCAGAGTGGATTTAAGTAGCCTCTTAACTAAGATAAAAATGGACTATATACAACAGTTAGCTCAAAAAAACAATTCTTGCTTACGCATGCATTTATTCGGAATCGTTGCTATGACACGTGAAAACCGATGTACAACAAATAAATTAATTGTTGATTTTCAGTAACAACCAACCCGACGTCGCAGCTCGCCATAGCTGCAGCAGCAAACAGTTCCCAGCAAGCGCAGCTGGCTCTTGCCCAGCAAAATCTTGCTAACAATCTGCAAGCACAGCCACAGTTGACATCCCAAGCTCAACTGGCACTTGCAGCAACTACTACGCAACAACTTACATCACAGGTAAGGTCTCAAAGTACATCGCAAGTGTTTTTGAACCTAAATATTTACTTAAATCTTCAATGGAATCAAACTGGCAGCTTGTATCCTTCCGGAATAAGAGTCATACAAGGCCGTTCCCATTCGTATAAAAGATAGATAAAAGATGCACCGTTCACTTTTCTCCTTACGAGATATTCTTTGCACATCTAAAACAGCCCCTATCAATATCTATAGTCTTTTTAGATTTTCGTAATGTTAGGCGTGCAAGGCTCGTCCATTCCTTGAATACCACTGTAGTGTAGGCTAATATCATTTTCTACTGGTATGCTGTGATCCATTTAAACAAGTGACATCTGCAGTTCTGCTATGGAAGGGCAGAATCAAGACTGGTGCAGGCTGATTATTTTTCAGGTGCTTGATAATTTACTTGAACGATGTGCCTGACCTTTTAATATTTTTTAGCACCACTGTCCATTCCAGTACACTGATTTTGAGGAAGATATATCACGTTGGCATCATTGTATTCACACATACACGCCTAAGTTACAGGTTTTAGGAATAACTTCATAAAAAACAGAAGTTATTAGTAAAACCTTCAAGTTGGCACATAAGTTATTGTTTTTTAGGGCTCCACGCGCGAGATCACTAGATTTAGTTTGGCATCAAAAGAGAAATGTCTGTTTGAAATTCAAATTTTTCCTAACCTAAATACCCTTCGAGCCTTGAACGATTATTTACAACATACATTTTTTTTCGACGATTTATTTAGGAAAAATATTCCCAATGTTCATGGATAATAAATAATAATAATGTTTTTTTATAAATAATAACGGTAGTATCCATTAGACATAAGATGCCTAACAAATAATACACTTGTGCTTCGGTTTTAAATGTACTTGAAGTATATGAATACAACAAATTTCCTGTAGGTATTCTAGTCAAATGAATAAAATTCTAACAATTTGTTGTCAGATAACATATTGAATTTTAATATCTATATGCTTATAGATCTATAACAGTAATTCAATTTTTAAACGTTTTTCACATTTTATATGTTTAAAGTGTGCAGATTATAAAATTTTGAGCGTAGCAAGAAGACTGATCTTGAAACTATCAAGTTTTATGTAGTCTGCAAATAAGTGCAGATGTTTCATTGAATCGCGTTTGATGGCTGTGACTAATAGACTGTAACAATTTTGGATTTTTTGTCAAATATATTGTGTGATAAACATATATTTGCCGACAGTCGAAAAGCTGAGATTCGCTGCAATGATTTTCTGTGGGATAATATTTCTTTTTCTTCTACATAACCTTCACTTTCCACGTAATTTCAATTTTTTTATAATAATTCATCATGGCTTCCCCCATGCTAAGTTATCAACTGACTGTATGTTTTTGTAGCTATTCGTTTTAATAGAATATGTTTTGTTGAAGTTGACTCATCATTTCCGTGAAAAAAAAGTTATAAACCATACAATTTTGCTTTTTAAAGAAGTCCAATCTTTGTCTGAATAAATAATCGCAGTATCTTCTGCCAAACCAATAATTTCTCCATCGTTTTTCAACTTGAAAAGGTCATTGATATGGGAATTAAAAGGATTGGTCCTAATACGGTTCATTGTGGAACTCCGCATCTAACTGCCATACTTTCGCTGTTAATGTTCACACATTGTTTTCTGTCTTCCAAATAACTTTTCATAGTTGATAAGTGGCTTCACGAAATCCTAAGATTTCCAAGGTTTTTAAAAATGTTTGATGTGCAATTCTATCGAATGATTTAGCTAAGTCTACAAAAAGGCATGCTGTCGCTTATTACTATCAACATACTTATTTTTTGTTTTTAACTGAATAAACGCATCCTGAGTTGACTTTGCTTCTTGAAATCCTTATTGCTGTTCAGATATTAGATTGTATTTTGCAATACAAATTGAAAGTCGTTATTTCAAAACTTATACGAAAATTTTTGAAAAGTTTGTCAATACAGAAATTTGTCGATAATTACAAGGTTTCTGTTTATCTCCAGATTTAAATACAGGCTCGGTATGAATTACGCCTATGAACTATAATGTTTGTCTAATATTTTCGTTTACAGGCACAACAATTGGCATTAGCCAATACACCTCAACAACTTACAATGGCCAACGTTCCGCAACAGCTGGTTTTAGCTGCCAGCACTAATCAGCAACTGATCGCCACCCAAACAATCGCTCCCGATATGCATAGATCCGCAGCCAATGGACAAACCCAGGGGATCAACACCTCGCAGGCGATGGCCGCATCACAAGCAATGGCAGCGTCGCAAGCGCAACCGCTGATGTCTTACCCTATTATCACACAGCAGAGTATCAGTCATACGTTGACCCATTGAAATCCGGTAGTCAGGTTATTTTTGTTGCTAGTGCATTGTTTCATATAGTGAGGAAGCAGACCTAAGGGATCAACACTTCGCATGCGATGGCAGCGTCACAAACGATAGCTGCATGGCAAACGCAATCACTCAACATATGTCATACTTACATTGACATGTAGAAATCCAATAATCGAGTCATTTTGCTAGTACGGCCTTAATGTTCCGACGTAGCGAATAGACAGACCCAGGCTATCAGCACCTGGTGGGCCTTAACAGGGTCCCAAGCGATGGCTGTATCACAAGCAGTACTACCCTAAGACAGCACAGTATACGTTGACGAATTAACATCCGGTTATCGTCTAACATAGCGAACAGGCAGATCCAGGGAACAACGCTTTGCAGGCGCTAGTTGTGTTGCAAACACAACCGCTCATGTTTTGTCCTATTATCACACAGCAAACAGTCATAGTTTGACGCATTGAAATTCAATGAGTCATTTTTGGTATTGTGAAGTATACGAGGCCTGTAAGTTAAGTGATGAGACTATTTTTTTTTTATTCAAGTATAATTACAGTTTTATATTGTCACCTTCAAGATAACTTCTTTCTGACGGCACACAGCGCTGGTAACGTTTCTTCCACTCCTCTTAGCAGTGATGGACTCCGATACTGGAATAGCCTTCAGCTGATCAGTTACAGCCGTTCGAATGTTTTCGACTGTCCCAAAATAATTTCCCTTGAGGTGACTTCGGGAAGAGAAAAAAGTTACAAGGACTCAAGTCAGGTGATTAAGGACGCTGAAGAGCCACAGGAATGTTTTTACTTGGCAAAAACTCGTATCGATATTGCTGTGTGACAAGGAGCATTATCGTGATGCAAAACCCAGTAGTCCTTGATCTGATGAACGGTAGTTTGTCTCTTCCCTGATCATCCTGACTGTCAACCGACGATCTGAATGCATAAGATCCCGGAGTATGTCGATATTTTCATCAGTTCTTTGAAGATAAAGGCCTTACGCTTCGTAGTTCATTTTCAATCGACTCTCTCCCTTCCAAAAAAGACTGAAACCGCCGAAAAACCTGGACTCTTGATAAAACCCTATCTTCGTATGCCTGCTAAAGTTTAGCATGAGTTTCCGTATCACCAAGTCCGAAACAAAACCTGATAGCATACCATTGCTCGAAATTGATGTCACTCATTTTTAGAACACAATAGGAAAAACTGTTTAACAAAAAAACTCGCTTCGGACGACCAAATGGCTCTCGCGAGTTCAAACTTGTACTGAAGGCGGATCACATGTTCCCCTGTCTCGTCTGCAAGCCCGGCGCCACCAGTGTTGCCAGATCGAACGCTACGTTATCAATCTCATCACTTAATTTATAAACCTCGTAAGATAGGTCTCTATAGTGAAATCTGTATCGTGTGGGTCATCTGAGGCTTGGCAATTGTGCAAATATTTCTCTGTCATCATTTGTCAGATTAAAACAGAATTGTTAGTTTATAATTCAATTTTTTCCTAACCTCAAATCGACTCAGTGTGTTACTTTCATTGTTATCTGTTTATTTGTCCGATATCCGCTGGGTGACACTGTCATCTCGCGCCCCATCGAAGAGCGTTGCTCCTCTAGTTGTTCAACGTATATCGAGGTATCTGTAAAGAACGGTGGTTGATTCGACCCAGATCGGTGGTTAGTTCGACCCAGATCGGTGGTGTGAAGACTCAAAGTGTTGCCCAGTTTAATAAATAAAAATTTAATTTGTAGTTTTAAGGATATGATTCCTGTACATCAGTACAGATCTGTCGTATTCTTGGCATGTATTTCTGATTATCTCAGGAATATGTATTTAACGAGAATCGTTTACTTATAGTAGTCAGAGTTTGAGCACAATGTACAAGTTTGATCACTGTGGCGTAGATACCTCGAGTGGCACCCGGTGCGGAAGTTGGTGGTGTCACCCCATCGAAAGTCAAAAGCAGTACATTTTATATGATTTATAAACGTCATGGATTTAGTATTTATATTTAAAATATTGAACAAATAACAAAACTCAATGAAAACTAAGACAAAAAATATTCTTATCCTACAATTAAAATCTCTTCTTTCTAGCTTTGACAGCTGCAAACTCGGAAATAACTTCATCAAAATTTATCTCGTCTTCGATGGCTAATATACCAAGATTGCAAAGCGGCGATTGCGTCACTGTTGCCCGCAAATAGTTTTTTATTAATTTTAGTTTACTGTCATGAACAATTTTAGGGCAACCATAAGATTTGGAAGAGATTCTGTAAAATCCCATTCTACAATAAACCTTAAAAAATCCATAGATACCCAATCATAAACTTTAACTTTAGGTGTCTTCGCGTCTTGGTATCTCCAAAAGTAATTCTGTTTCTGAGACCTCATCATAAAAATCAGTAAATTTGGATGTATCTGATTTAAGTTTTTCAGTATTCGCAAAGTATTTGTTTGTACGATCGTGAACAATGAAGCTAGGTCTTGAAGAGACTTCGATCTTGTCTGGAGTTCAACTCTGAATCGGTCAAGACATTCCCACATATGTTTTTAAAGTTCTTCTTTCAGTGTGAGTCTTGCATCACTGGCCATCTCACCAGCCACCGTTTTTTACGATGAAGTCGTCTTTCTGTTGGAATATCATAGTCTTCTGATTTTGGGGGAATCCCCGAATTATACATAGAGCTGGGCTGGTGCTTGTGGAGGAATCACCGAAGTAGACAACTCTGCTGGCGATTTAATTTCTTGTTTGTTTGTACATTGTTCTTAAAGTTGAGATACCGGGTGGGTATCACCCCAAAAAAGGTGACACCCAGTGCGGCCCGCCAACGCCTCCCACCCCTTGCTATGCCGCTGCACTGCATATTTTATATTTATTTCACATAGAACAAAAATTACAGCATGTTTCTAAGAATCACCATTGATTTTAACCGGCATCAGTCGAATGAGTTATTTACGTAAATAAACCAGGATATCTAGAACTTGAGTTTAAAAAATTGTAATAAGTTGGTTTACAACGGAATTATATTCTTGAGGGTATACGGAACCACTTTTTCGCGTATATTCAGATAGTTCTGAACTATTGTGGTCCAAAAGAAATTGTGAAAATACCTTCAAAATAAGATCTGACACGACCAATTTCCCTAAAGTTTGATTTATTACAAAAAACGTCAGACATCGTATTTTCTACCTTTATTTTTTACTGGAAAATGCATAATAGTGAATTTGAAATAATTTTCAGAATAATGGCCTTTTTTGACGAGGTGTCCAGAGACTTTGGATCAATCATATGGCTTCACATTTGCTAGAGATTTAGTTTAATATTACAAGAGGCTAGAGTACATCTATTTTGCCTTATAAACAATTAGAATAAGTCCGTTGTTTTTTTTATAGTCGTAATTATGATGCTCACCACTGAAAAGCTTATGAAACATACACACTGATGAAAAAATATATGATTTTTATCCCTTTGAAGCCGAAATACCATTTTTAATCAAAGAATCAACCTCAACGTCTGTTACCAACATTAAGGGTCTCAATAAAACCCACGTATAAAAAAAGATTTGAAGTTTATTAAACTGCCTGTTCAAAACTGTATGGTTTCATACATTCAATTACAAACACCTTACCAAGATGAGGCATTCTCAGCGCATTCAAATTACGTGTTTGTTTTTGGAGTCATAGGTTATGCTCAGTATTCTTATGCAAAATGCTTTTTTTGTTTTTAATGAGTTTATTTTTTCTTCAAATGTATGTTGCTTTTGAGAAATGGGAATTACGACTGTCAAAAAACAACGGACTTATTCTAATTGTTTATAAGGCAAAAATAGATGTTCCATTGGATATTAATATATATGAAGCGATTTGATTAATCCAGTGTTTCTCAAAATTTTACCATTCGCGACCCAATTTTCAATAATTATTTTCAAATTTTGGGTTTACATATACTGAAGTCAATGAAGAAGAGATGCTTCTGTGTATCATTTGTTCAAAAAAATTAGCAGCAGATAGCATGAAACCTAATAAACTTAAATGACAATTGAAACCACTTCATAGTGAGTACAAACCCCGAGAATTCTTCGAGTTAAAATTAAAATCATACAAAAAGCAAAAATCATTTAAAAAAAACTTTTTGAATGAAAAAGCTTCACTTGCCTCTTATAAAGTTTCATATGAAATAGCCAGATGTAAGAAGCCTCACACTATTGGTGAAGAGCTTATTTTGCCAGCTGCAATTAAAATTGTAGAAACTATGTTTGGAGATAATTTTAACAATAAAATGGGGTCCATACCTTTATCAAATGTACAGCATCAGCTACTCGCGGAGTTGCGAGACAAGTTGTTTTCAGTTCAGCTTGATGGGGCAACGGACAGCAATAAAGATGCTCATCGCATTATTTGCTATCTTAAATTATTATATAATCGAGAGTGGAAGAATTGCGTCGGAACATGCACCGATGAGGCTCGTTCAATGTCAGGAAGATTTGAAAGTATACAAGCCCTTGTAAAACAAAAATTTGCCATGTACATCTGGATACATTGCATGATTTACAGAGAAGCTCTGGCTTCCAAAGAAATGTCTCCTGGCCTGAATATTGTGCAAACTACGGTTGTAACAGAAGTTAATTACATAAAAATGAGACCTTTGACAACTAGAATCTTTTCTTCTGCACTTTGTAAATATATGGATGCAGTACATTCAGAATTCAAAAATTCTATTGCGAGGCAAGATAGTTATAACGTGGGAAATGTTCACAACGTGTTTTTGGATTAAGACATGAAATCGCCGTTTTTCTAGAAGAAAACCGACCGCAAGCCGAGATGGTTTATTTCTAATGAAATTGAGCTACTTGGTCGAAATATTCGAGAAACTAAATACAATCTTGAACCTTCAGCTCCAAGCGGCAAATACACATATATTGGACATGAGTCATAAAGTTAACGCTTTTTGTAGAACATTGGAATTTAAAGCAAAAAAAGCTGGAAATGTTTGCAAATGTGTGTATTAAAACTTACAAGGTTGAAGAACACATTAAAGTTGTTTTCATAGCCATTGAAAATCATTTTAAAAAATATTTTCTTGCCGACGACAAATTAAAACTTAGTTACGAGTGGGTTAGGAATCCGTTTCAAATTACTCCCGAAGGGCTCTCAACCACCGAAGAAGAAATCTTCATAGAGTTGACGGCAAACGCCGAAATCAAAAAACAGTTTCATATAAATCCCTCGTTGAATTTTGGGCAGGCTTGAATGATGAGTTTTCGCCACTAAAAACCAGAGCGTTTCGTATACTACTACCACTTTCAACATCTTACCTCTGCGAAACAGGATTTTCGGCAGTGGCTGCTTTGAAGACTAAATATAGATCGCTGGTAAATATAGAAAAAGTACACAGAGCGTCTATTTCAAATATTAAACCTTGTTTCGACAAGCAAGCAGGCCCAAGGGAGTAACTATTAATTATTATTTTTTACAATTAATATTATTAAACTTATTTTTAATTTAGTATTGATAAATACAGTCCTGTTTATAAGTGCACCGACTATATCAGTGTTAATGTGTATTTTATTTTTGAATATGTCAGAATTTTGTTTTTCTTTCCTTTTAGTAAATTATTCAATGTTTTTTTGATATCGATGGTGTCAATGCAATACCTCGTACCTACGAAATGTCAAAATTTCAGGAGACAATGTTTTGCATAATAATTAATACTTGCAAGTGTTTTATTTAGTTTAACATTGTTCTAGGCCTCTAAACAAGCGAAAAAATTATTATTTTAAGTTGTCTTCTAAGAAATAGGTATTTAGTAATTATTATGTGAGATACGAAGTATTGCACAAAATTTTTCGTCAACTTTGGAACTTACGAGGTATTGTACTTATAATGAAAACCCATTTAGATTTTAGAACAATTTTATCTCAAATCCATTAAAATACAAAATAAAAGATACACAAAAACTATATCCAAGTTACAGTAAAAAAATGAACAGGAAACAAGGAAATATAAAAATAATAAAAACCTATTTGAAAGGTAAACTGTCATAAAATGGCCAATAATTTTGACCAATTTTGGTTTTTATTTCTTGTAAATGATCGTATTTCTTTCTTTGCAATTGGCAGTTTGTGCTCAAACAATTGGAGAAATTGGTTTATGTCGTTTGGGGTCCTTCTTGGACGATGAGGTAATTCTGCAAACTCTTGGTCGAAATTAATTTTGTATGTTATCAAGCCTTGTTCATACTGCAGTGCCCTTATCTGCGTGACTGTCGGATCATTGGATTTTTTACCAGGGCGGATTGAATAGTAGACCAAATCGGCACTATAGTTTTTGAAAAAAGTAAAATCTGGAGTTACGACTTCATAAGGAAATGGGTTTTGACGCGCTTCTCCAGTAAGACGATAGTAATCATTTGGTATTTCGATGTTCTTATTTTTTAGCTTTCTTTCAATAACAGCATGAACACTATCACATTCCATTTGAAAATGACCTTTAATCAAGAACTTCTGAGTTATTTGCACATTATATTGGCGTGATAGACTAAGCAGAGCATTTGCCATGGTACTGTTTCTATTCTGATATGTGCAACCATCAGAATAAATTATTATTGGTTTTATGTGGGCTGCATTTTGAAGATACTTTTTAACGGCTTGCAGATCTACTGTAATAACATGACAGACTACCTGCATTGCTTTTTCTTTATCATCATTTTTTTCTTTTTGAGCTCTCTCTTTGTCTGTTCTATGTTGTTCCCAGTCTTCTAGGCTTAGATTTTGAGATTCATACTGTACACATGTATCACACCGATCCTTGCGAGGCTTGAATATACCAATATTCTTTTTATGTACCCACTTTATTAATGTATTTCTACTGGCTGGTGCTGTGTTTTGTGTTTTTGAATAATCCACGAAAGCTTTATATAAGTCTGAGTAACTAGAAAACTCATGTTCAAGGTACAACTTTGTAGTGTCTTTGCGACAATAGTGACTAGGAAGCTTTGGCAATTTTTCTAGAAATGTTGTTATAAATGAATCATTTTGGGATTTTCTGGGTAATCTACGACTGTTAGTTTCTGCTCCACTGGAAGGTGTACCGTAATGCGATGTCTCCACCCAGCTCTTTACACTCCATTCCCCAAGCCCCAGAGTTCCCAAAAACATTTTTTTACAGACGGGTATAAGCTTATCACCAACATTCAAGCTATAGTATAGGGAGCAGGAACGTCGAGAATTTTCATCTTTTGTTTTTCTAGAGGTCTCCTGTCTTGAAACAAGGTTGCAGACATATACCTTCCTTTGGTCCCAACTCAGGTTCTTCCAAAAAGCTGTAAACATTTCTTTTCGTGCTTCTTCTCTGATTTCATTACATTTTCTTTTTGAGCTGTTCTTACAGGTTTCTGAGTTACACCTTTCGCCTTGTTTCCGCTCTTTCTATATCTTGAAACGTTCTTTTTCTATTTCGTGGTCGCCTAAATCCTATATAAACCATACCCTTCATTCTAAGTTCCTTATTTCTTTTGAATGACACATTGAAATTTGATTTATATGAATAGGTGTATCTTCAGCGGAAATGATATCCCACTGTACCCTTGTCTCTTCTAAAACACCATTTTGATCGGCAAACACACTTGAGGAACCTATTACTGAGTGATTATTTATAGCATCTAGGCTGATGTCATGGATTACATTCTGTACAGAAAATGGCACTATTTCATGTTGGTTGGTGTCTAAATTTTCAGGCATACTTGTAGTAGGAGAACCATCGTTCAGATTTTCGGCTACTGCTGGTTCGAAAGCGTGTGATATAGTGCTATTCTGTAGTTCGAGAAAATCTGAATTTAGGACTACGTGGTTCCTCTAAATTTTCTCTGCTATCCACATTATTGTCTGTATTATCAAAAACCATCTCTGCTTGTCTATTAATTTTTCAAAATCCATAGTTTGCTGCTCTTGAGTTTCAGAAATATCTGAAACAATATTTTTCCAATCAAAAAACCTATAGGAGATAATTTTTCCTCAAGTACTACTATGATTTAGGAAAAAAGTTGTTCATTTATTTCACACATGACCAACTAAAAAAAGTATCCAGTAATTTATATAATTATTATATTTAAACCTTTAATAGGATGGGCGAGGAGGGTGAATTTTTAGCCGTCACAATGTTTTCTGGCATTATAAAAATGTAAGAGAAACGAAGGGAAAGCATAACTGATAAGAAAATAAGACATCAAATCAATGGGAACTTTCATCTAATCCTATGGTATACATTCTGTTATTAATATATAAATAATTATAACTTACTTGTGCTTGACAAGGACGCAGCTTGGCACATTTCCAATATTTTTTTGCCACGCATCTTGCAATTTTTGATCTATAACAAAAATAACAAATTGCAAGGAGAAGCACTTATCTGACATGCAAATTCATATTTTGACAGGTCAATAGCACGTATCTACGAAACAACTACTCGTATCGCTAGGCAATAGCTTGTATCTTCTAAATAAGAAATATTTTGTCAATTTCAATGCCACGTATCTGCCACAACTACATAATACAAGCTGAAACAACATTAATTGCTACTTTTCTTGCCAAATATGTAATACAACTACATGTTTAATATATATACTAATACCTACAACAATTAAATCAAATATAAAACGATTTCTTACCTTATTTTTCTGCGTTAAAGCATCAACACTCTACAGAAGACGCCATGTTTTTAGAGATACGAGGTATTGCACAAATTTGAGCGGGAATTATGGGTAAATGCAAGCCAAAAAGGAACCGTTTGATTGTTCAGCACTATTATGCTCTCTAGCTCTTTGTCTAGAGCGGGCAATTCAAATTTATCAAAAAATGGAGATACGAGGTATTGCCTTGACACCATCGATATGCTCGCTGGATTAATCCAAAGTAGCTGGATAGCTCATCTTTCTGAAAAAAATATGTAACAATTATTAGAAAATTGCAAAATTTTGTTTATGGATTTTAATCACTACAAGGGCATTTTGGCTATTATTCCAGATTTACCGACATGTATGTAAGTAGTAGTAGTTTTAGTAGTAAGTAAGAAAGTGTATAAATCGACGGCTTCTGATTTTTTTTTGTAATAAATTCAGCTACGGCTTGAAGGTATTTTCATCCACTTAATTATTTTGGACCACCTCCAGTAATTTACAACTATTTGAATATATGCGAAAAAGTGATTTTTACAACTTTAACGTTTATTGAAAAAAAGTTATCCAGAATTTTTTTGCTTATCTCGCGATATATCATATCATAGATACTTTTGTCAATTTTTGTGACAATAATGATTTGTTTCTAAATGCTGATAAATGTACTTTTATTAGACTCACCCGGAACAAATCTCTCATAGAATACCGGTACCAAATCAAAAAAATACCTTTTAAGGAAACGGATATAGTGAAGGACCTAGGAGTCCTCATAGATGCAAAAATGACTTTCCAACCACGCATAGAAAACTTGACTTGCGAATCAAACAAATTGTTGGGATTTATCTGTCGAATCTGCAGGGATTTCACGAGTGCAAGAGCCATGACATCACTATATTATTCATATATTTATAACAAGTTGAACTTTGCTTCCGTTATATGGAACCCTCAGTATATTACATACATAAATCGAATTGAAAGTGTACAAAATAGATTCCTGAAGAGATTAAGTTTTAAAATCGGCAATCCGGTCCGTGACGGAAACTATGATCATATTAGACAACATTTCAATATCATGACCTTAAAAAGTAGAAGAATGATGTCCGACGTGTGTCTTATATACAAAATATTCAACAATGTTGACTGTCCCTATTTGCTTTCAGGAATAAATATTAAGATAGAAACTACCGCCATTCCAAGTTTTTCAGGATTCCCTTCTGTAGAACGAATTTAGGAGTCAACTCACCTGTAATTAGGGGCCAGAGGGTGTTTAACGATACCTCTATAAACTTGGACATTTTTTTGGTTAGTTTTAACAAGTTTAAAGCAACGGTAAGGAGGCAGCTTACGTAGGATAGTATCATACTACTTAATTGTTTGTTTGCTGTGATACTGTTGTCAACCATTAATACTTTTATATAGTATTTTATATGTTATGTTATCAAAGCTGTCTAGTAACGTGCTGTGTTTGTGTTTTTTGGTGACTAGTGCGATTCATGGAATAGTGTAATTCTGTAATTGATGCATGCTAATTTTTAAAAAATTAAATTTTAAATTTATATCGTTATATATATATATATATATATATATATATCGATATAAATTATATTATATTATATATGATATAGGAACTACTATATATATATATATATATATAGTAGTTCCTATATCATAGTATTGTAGGCTTGTGTTACAGATTTTCATATCTTCTGGATTTTGTAATCTATGTATCTTTTTAATTTATCACTATAGTAAGCAGCGGGTGCTGTCTTTGGAATTCACATTCTGTTGCACCCCAAACATGAGTAAATAAATATATCATATCATATGCACTCAAGAATATAATTCCGCTGTAAAACCGCTAATTACAACTATTTCTTTCCAGACAGCTTGGTCTAAAACTATTTTGAATATTTTGTCTGCAAAAAGCACATTCAAAGCACTGTTTTTACTTTTCACTAACAACGAGAAATGGCAAAACTTACCCTCCGAAGTTCAAACGCGAATCTCGCACCAGAGCTGCAAAAATGCAATTTAGTATAGATAGAGAACACCCCATTGTTAAAGCGGCGAGTGTGAACAAACTTGTACATTTGCAAACAGTTGTAGAAATATGTGTGTATATTTACTGGTTCAGTTGAATAATTAAATAATTATAAAAATTGAGATTTAATATGAGTATCTTGTGTATATATTTAATTTATTGTCATTATAATATAGCAATATTGTTATATCGCTATTGATGATTATTTTGATACAAAGGATCTAAAAGGACTAGCAGTTAGTGAAATAAATAACATTCAAACTAAAACTTGTGGTTTTTATAGATCTTTGGCACGATGCAGGAATAACGTAGGAAAGAACGTACTTCTCTATTCGTCATTGTCTGTAGGACCTTTGCTCTTGGTTAAAGTCTTGTAAGTCAGTAGGTCTGTCAGGTCTGCTTGCCCAGACACCAGACAAAGTCGGAGAGAAAGAAGAAGGAAGAAAGGAGAGCAAAGAAGAAAGGAAGTGCGTCAATTTGAGGAATGCCTTGGCATTGCTAACTAATATTCGAAAATTTTAAATTGATCCTACAATTAATTTAGAGATTGGTTGTTAAAGAAAAATTATAATTTTGGTTGGACCTAAAGTCGCAGCGTGCTTGCGAACTTACTCGACTGTGTAGTCTACTGACTCGCGCAACAAATTGTTGCTATACGATTCCGCTTGACTATAACATAGTTGCGCTTGTTGTTGGAAGTAGTCCTTTGGGTAAGGGATGTCAAGGTATCTGTGAAGGGTCTCATTAGAGACATAACCATGGGGCGTTAGTGATTGTACGCAAGGCAAAACCTGCTGACTACGTAAATGCGTTTTGGCGCGAAAACACCAAGCCGCACTTACGTAAGAGATCGCTGGTCTAATGACCATATTGTATAGCCGAACTTTGTTGATTAAACTTAATTTAATTTTGAGGTTCTACATAGCATAAGGTAGACTTGCCCAAACGAGATTTGGAATTTAGTTTTTAACGCTTCAGTGTGCTTCTGCCAGGTCATCCCCTTGTCAAGAGTGACACTGAGATATTTAGCAGAACTTCCATATGGTACCCGAGCTCCATTCACTAAAACCTCAGGCGGGGTGCCGCTACGTTTTTTAGTACGATAGCCTACGCTTTCGAATAATTAATTTTGATCAGCCACCGATTCGCCCATTCCTATACCTCGTCCACCGCACTTTGCAGAGTGTCATGAGCTAGATTCCCACAACACGACTGGGAAACCAGGGCAGTTTCATCAGCATAGAGATAGATTTCACAGTTGCTGGGGTAAGCGACGTCATGAATAAAAAGTGAATAAAGGACTGGTCCAAGATCCGAACCCTGAGGACACCGGCTTTGATGGGCCGTTTTGTCGACAGAACGTTATTAATTTTGATCCAAAATTTCCTACCCTCAAGGAAGGATTTCAACAGCTTTTTGAGCCAGAAGGGGAAGCGCTTGTGCCACACCTTGTCAAATGCCTTTGAGACATCCAGAAGCAAGATGCCAGTACCTTCGTTACGGGTGAACCCACTGGTTACTCGTTCAACAAGCCTAACCGCCTGTAACTCCGTACTATGCTCAGACCGAAAGCCAAATTGCACATCAGGAATCACATTGTGGTCTACAAGACACCTGAGGAAGAATCACCAAGGGAGGCGCTACTTCCATTGATACCGTTGGCCCTAAAATATCTCCGGACGGATCTTACAGTGTTGCTCCTCGTCGAGGTCATTATCAAGGTCATAGTTGGGAGAGAACTGACTTTCCATTGCATCAGCGAAAACTTCGACCTTTTCCTCTGTCCTACAGACTATGCCACGAGGACCGTGAATGTGCGGAAGTTGTTCTAGCTTTCCGTTTCTGAGCGACTTTCCAGAGAGGAATACTTGAGTCAAGCATTCCTGACAGAAAGTCGCTCCATTGCTAATTACGGAATTCAGGAAGAGCATTTCTAACTTCATGAACAAGATTCGTCGCTCTGCGAATGTCATCTGGATAACAAGACCTCTTCGCTTGCTTAATTGCAGCTCTTTTGTCAGGAGTTTTGACTAATGTCTGCAGGGAGAAGAACGTACTTATTAAGTCCGGTTTCATAACCTGACAGTTAATTCATTTCTTAATATGACAGTGAACTGAAGAGTGTGAAACCAACTAAAAAAGGGTAACGTCATGTGCTATGGCGTAAATGACAAAATTAAAACACCTGCATTGGAAAATGTATTTACTAGATAATTATCTTTCAACAAGTATTTATCTCTCCATTTAATTTTGTTATAAAAAATGAGTAATACACTAGTAATCATCCACAAAAATTGTCAGTTCTAAATTTAATAACTGAATGGTTACAATAAATTTAAACTATTGTCTTTACATTCTATACAAAATGTCCGTTTTGTATAAATTATAGAAAAAAAAGAAACAATGTTGAATATTTTTGGAGTATATCATTATTGCAAAAAAATATATAACGTGAGACAAATTATTCATTATTATATACAAATATATGCAAAAACAATATACAATTGTTATAAAAATACTACAGCGCACCACTTACCTATTTTACAATTACTGGTTTAAATACAGTTTATACAAGTCTAAGAAAATGTTTATGATTTAATGTCAATTTAAAACAACCAACAAAATTTCATTATAACCGCAATAAATATCTATATACAATTCCTTTTTTTGCAGTGAGTTGTATTGATTTCCCAGTGGTAACATTACAGTTTTGAAAATTTTTATACCGTAGACGTAGACAAACGTGGATAAATTAAATACGCAAATATTATTTTACATTATGCTGTTATAGGAGAAAAATGTCCAGTGAAACCTTTATCAAGCTTAGACAGTATACAGGGTGTTCATTTTAAAACTTCCCACCACGGAATTATTGAAAACCAATGATTAAAAGAAAAAACGCCGAGACACGTCAAAAGATTTTTCAAGGGGGACAAGTTTTTAACCAAAATCTACTTCACCCTCGGCCCCCCAGGGTCATTCCCTTGAAAATTTTAAATTTTAAGGGGTATCGAGTATTAGCTTGTTTGAAAGGTATTTCGAAGTCCTTTATTTTGACGTTTAATTTTTTCAAATCAGTCGATTCGTTTACGAGAAAATTAGAAAATTTCTTATTCATCTTAATTTGCTCAGATAGAAAACAAAAATACAGGAAAATATCACTTTTTATTTCAATAAGTGTTCAAAATGATGCCGGTAAAGATTCACCAAATCTACAATTCGTTTATAATTTAAAACGGAAACTACCAACATAAACATCAATTCCGAAGATTAGACGTGGCAACAACCAAATAACCCGAATTTTTTTCGCATTCTTTTCATCAACACAGATATCCTGGGCGAACTGTATTTATTGCTACACCTATTTAGTTATTTGTTGCTAAGGGAAAGAAAGAATTTAATTTGCTGTGAGTTACCTTTGTGACAATCTTGGGATAGTGAAAATTCGTTTACTGATTCAGATTTTACTTCCAAAATGGTTAACACACTAGCCGAAAGAGTGGAAATGATTCTAATTTGTCGTGCACAAAATCAATATGCTCTGCAAACTACCGTCACGTTTTGGATCTTGTTACTAAATTTACTCAAACTGGATCTGTTGCAAATTATAAACGTGATCATCGGAGAGTCGTATGAAGCCACTCAAGTTGAAGTTTGTGTCATTTTGGAATAAATCCTAATGCTTCATTACGAAAAATTGTTGCTGCGACTGGTATTTGATTAGGCTCTGTACCCACAGTTACTAAACTCCATAAATTTCATCCATTCAAAATGAAAATATTGCAAGAGTTAACCGAAGATGATTTCGATAGGCGAGTTGAGTTTTGTGAAAAAATGCCTGTATCGATCATGTAAAGAATATCTGCTTCAGTGATGAATGCACATTTTATCTAATGGATTTGTTAATAAGCATAAGTGCAGGTATTGTAGCAATGAAAATGATTATGCTTTTGTAGAAGGGCATGAGGCTGGAATATATTTCCAGCAAAACGGCGCTCCTCCTCACTATGTTCTTCCAGTTCGACAATGGCTAGACGACGAGTTTCCACATAAATGGATAGGGCGAAGAGGGTCTGTAGAATGGCCTGCTAGATCTCCTGATTTGACGCCATTAGACTTTTTCTATGGGGCTATTTGAAATCTATTTTGTTTACTCCCCAACCTGAAAGTTTTGATGAACTTCGTCAACGCATCATCGAAAGATGCCATGATTTCCCACAACATGTCACCGCTTATACCATTGTTTGGCCAATAACGGGTAACATTTTTAACACTTATTGGAATAAAAAGTGATATTTTCGTGCGTTTTTTGTTTTCTATCCGAACAAATTATTTAAAAAAGTCAAACGTCAAAATAAAGGACTTTCGATACCCCTTGTCATTTAAAATTTTTAAGTGTATGACTCTGGGGGGCAGAGGGAGGAAGGGATGAAGTAGTTTTTGGTTAAAAAGTTGTCCCCTGGGCAAGTCTTTTGACGTGTCTCGGCGTTTTTTATTTTAATCAGTGGTTTTTGATAAATCCCTGGTGGGAAGTTTTCAAATGAACACCCTGTATGAGTAGTCACATCATGGCGTACGTTAATATTAGCATGCTCTTTAACATTTCAGTCATGGCATGCGTGAAAGCAGCAGCAAAAACGTACTCGGAAACTTGACACCTGGAGTACCAGTGTTGCTTTGACAGGGTTGTCATGTTGGGGGATTTTTCCTCAAATTTGGATTTTTACTTTGAGATTTTTTATATATAATATTCTGTGAGAAATCACATGATTCGCGAATAGAAAGCATCTCCCGCTCTGCTGTAACCTGTTTTATCATTCATAAAATTTAAGTTTTATCAAAAAACGTACCTGCAGATTTAAGCGGTCGGATCCCGAACGATAACCACAGATACTATGCTTATGCGCAGTAGATGCTTCAATCACGGCGTTCTCAGTCAGGCGTGAAGTTTTGGGGTATATACGTGGCTTGTTCAATAAGTACCCATGTTTGACGACAGAATGTGTTCCTGAGGGGAGTTGATGTTATCATCGTGTGCTGCCATCTATCAAACAACGGCACAACAAATTTCAGACTGATAAATAATAAATTTAGGTTAGTTTGGATTTGGCAGCCATTCGAGTAACACGTGTTTAACGTGATTTTCGCTAAGATGGAAAAAGAGCAGTATCGTTCGGTAATTCGCTTTTTGTTTTTGGATGGGACAAATGCAAGGAGATAAAAGAAAAGTTGGATGCTGTTTATGGGGACACTTCGCCATCGATGATCACACTTAGATATGAGTTTAACATTTAAACGTGGGCGATCATCCGTTTTTGATGAGGAGCGAACAGGACGCCCGGCAGACGTGGTTACCGAGGGAATCTTTCAAAAAGTCCACATGATCCTCGCTGATCGACGAACGAATATTTAACATGATAAATTGGAGATAAAAAAATTGTCGGCCCGATGGGTGCTCACGGTGGACAACAAGCGGATGCGGCTTCGATGCAGTGTTTGGAGCAATTTAAGAGAAATCCGTAGGAGTTTTTGTGTGTCGAGTTGTCACCGTTGATAAAACCTGGATTCATCATTACACACCAGAAACTAAGCAACAATCAAAACAATGGATTTCTCCCAGTGAATCTGCTCCAAAGAAGGCGAAGGCGGTCCCATAGGCCAGAAAGGTCACAGCGACGATTTTTTGGGATGCGAACGGCGTCATCCTCATGGATTTTTTAGAAAAAGGAAGAACGATCACTGCCTATGTTGAAAAATAAAAAAATGTTTTTGGAAAAAATGGTGTCATTTCTAACACGGGTACTTATTGAACCGCCCTCGTAGGCTCCATGGGCAAAAGGTTAAGGTTTGCCGTAACGTGATTACTCAAAGATCTCTTGGTATGCCGGAAAATGAAAAATGTGGCAGTTTTATGTTATACAAAAAAGTAACTGATCTATATTGCTTTTCAACATTGTGGAATGTCCAAAATGAAGATCGTATAACCAGGATCGTTTCTGTATTACATCACATCCATAAAACTTTATGCCATATTCTTTGAAATAAATTATTAAAATACATTCTGAATATTCGAGCAACAACATCTTCGAGAATACATTCAACCATATTATTTTTTTGGCAAACAAAATGTGATGATCGATTAATTTTTTGAGAAAAAATTATGAATCTGAACTTCAATGGCTTTTGAGATAATTTGAAACAATGGAACAAAGCTGTAAATCCTTGCCACTAACATACTAATATGTAATATTATTAGTAAACAAACTGACTTCTTGATTCTCGATACCATCATATACCCGTTTACCTTAATCAAAACGAGGACATCTTAGTAAGTCATGATAGCTTTTTAGATACTAATCGTCCGCCTGTATTTATTACACAAACTTAGTATGTATCGCACAAATACATACATTAAAATATGCTATATATTGATCTTCCTCAAACTAACTTATATGCTATTAAAAAGTATACTGTGTATAGATCCATGATAGAATCTGTTTACTATATTAACCGCGATGTCATTAATTCTGTCAGCCAGATTTTTTTATTATCGGTATTGAGGATAAACAAATTATAATTTCAACTTGATGCTGATTAAAATTTTGCAGTGCTCAATAATAATCTTTATCCAGTATTCAGAGAGTAGTGAACGGTATTTTGAAAAACCTGAAAGCACGAATTTGTAACAATACATCGCTTTCAATAAGACATATTCCAAATATCTTGGAAATTATAAAACTACTATATATACATTATGTACAGTTACTACAAAACTAATGAGCAGTGAAAATAAATTAAAACGGAAGTACACAACCACAATACAAAAAAAAAGTATCGAAAACTTAAGCGGCTGGAAGTTTTGGGGTATCACTTTTATATTTCCAGCCAAGAATTTATTAAACTTATCACTAATTTCACTTAATATTGTAAAGAATAGTTATTGTTCGTTGGTTAAAATATTTTAATAAATACTTTTCTCTAGTATATACAAATAGCTATAACAAAAAATATACAGATTTATTATGAACTCTAAAATTAACTGCTTACAAAACACATCATTGTTCATTTAATGATGAATATTTTTCATACTAGTTCCAATTTGAAGTCTTATTAAAAGATGAAATTAAATAACAAAGTTATCATAAAATACAACAAAAGACTCTTTAGTTAACCAAGTTTAAAAAATATTCACCAAACACGTTTTTGTACTGTAAAAAAGTAGAAGACTCGCGAAACAGAATGGAGATATTTGAAGCACTTATTATTTTATTGTAGGTCCATTTTTGGCACCGATACAAAGGCGAATGTCAGATGATCGGTATTCACTGTTATCCATCAGTATTTATCATGGAATGTGACATTTATCCGCCGTGTCGCCAATCAGTAATCACTGATATATAAGATTACGTCTAAATCCACTGACACTGACGGATCCATCAGTAAATACTGATAACACGACCGACACTAAATAATGATCGTATGACATTCGTCTAAGTTATAGGAACAACGATATTGTGCAATGTAATGCAGAGGTTTGAGATCAGAAAGTATTTTGCATTTGAGGTTTTCAACCGCTCAAAGGAACAATGACACATCTCAAGATTTATCGAGGGAACATTATTTCATGCACAACAATAATTGCAATATGTATGTAAACGTTCAATATTGATTTAGCTGCCTTTTATTATAAATATCTTGTAAATATTGAAACCTTCGGGGTTGAAGCGTTCATCAATAAAGGTAAGATAAAAAAAGAGGTTCTGAAAGAATCATTTGCCATCTTGGTCAATCTTAAAAAGTGGCTGAATTACAAGTTTTTTCGATCCACACAGCTGGTGTATGACATTTGGCACCAATTGCTGGAGAAACCACAAGCGAACGACAGTAGAAATATTTCAATATTCTTGTTCAAAAAGCATAGCGTGTTCAAATCGCTAGACGAAAAAGACGCATACTTTGGATGTGTCAATAATTGCTGCATCCTTCCAACTGATTAATATGACAGAATTGATACTAATCAAAATGTCATCTTTTCTATCACTCTGAGCTTGACCTGGAATTGATTTTGACATGAAAGAAGAACGGAGAATTGACTCAATTTGATCGAAAGAATACAGCAATAACATACAGGCATTTCTAATGTTATAAAAGAAAGTATTTTTTGACTGCTGACTGAGTGTTAGAAAGGCCTATTCGCTTACCGATTTGAAAATACTATCTCTGGTATTTGTGTGTTCTTGGATGTATAGTTAAACCTTGGCAGCATAATGTTAGACTAAAGTGATAAGCGAATGTGTGAAACAAAACAAATTACAATAGAGACTAGTTCAAAATGTACAAATTTTTCACACCTTTCGATACAAAGAGAGGGATCTTGCTGGAGGATTTTAAAAGAATTTCATTGTAATTTGTGAAAATAAAAATATATAAACAGAACCGTATAGGTCTTGTAAAAGTAAATTCAAGTTATCAGATATGATGTGATATAAAATCTTAATATGGTTTCTAAAAGTGGGTCTAGAACATTTGCAATAGTAAACCACTCTTAATAATAGTAGTTGTACGAAATACAACATATGAATCCCATAAAAATTGTATAGTCAAGCTATTTGAGTAAACAAAAAACTACATCGTTTCAAATATGGCATTTTTTACTAGTAAAAATTACATTTGAACATTATTAATCTTCAAGAGTCATCAATACCTAGGTACGACCAGCTAAAATTCAAGATATCAATCTCCTTACCATACTGTCGCAATCATTCAAATACAAAAGGGTCATTTCTTGGTTGAGCAACTCCAATAAGGTTGCTTATGAATTCTCTTTTTGTCGTTGACCTGACTTGAAGACTATGCGATCTTTGATCATGGACCCCTACTTATTTCCTATGGGGCAATTGAGTCGAAAATACAGCTAGTTACATTTGCATATAATAGTATATCTGGTGTCTTTCACAAATCTGAAAGAATTACTCCGATACCTTAAAATTTAAGGAAGTTATGACATTAAAAACAATTATCATTATTATTTTGTATGTGGATGCGATAGCCAACCGTTCTCGCACGCCGAGGTTCAGTCGTGACATCACATGACATAAGTTCGCATTCTGGGCTACGGCACTGGCGCCTTTGCATTTCGCATTCATCCTCGGCACACTCAAGTTGACCATTCGCAAGAGATTGTATGTATCTTGGCATAGACTGCACGTATTCTGCATCATTCTGTCACAGAATTACCGCGTGTTTTTTCAAAAAAGTACGGGCTGATGATGCCATAAAGAACGCGCATTGTTCTCCTGTGAAGCGACCCATCGTGATTGAATTTCCAAGAAGCGAGGAGCCGAACGTGAGTGGCCCTACTTTCCCCTCCTGCTCGATATTCACTCCAGTATAATTATAAGAGTGCAAAAATTTATGGCCCACCCTGTACAATAAATAAAATGGAAGAAGGCTTTCTGCGTACCGATTCCACTAATTTTCCAAAGTTGGATACAATAATAATTAATGATTGAATATACTGTGCAAAACATTTATGCTTTGATACGCATTAACATTTATAATTAATTATATATAATACTTTAGATGCCACAGTGGTTCCAAAGTCCTAAAATGTGACCAAAATTACAAAAATTCACTAAATTCTACAAAAAGAAAACGTTTCTTCGTTTTTCAAGTCGCAGATAACGAATATGATATCCATTTGTCAAAGATAAGAAAAAAGTTAATTATTGTTGTCTTATATGTGTCGATTGGCAAGTAATAGAATCCCATAAAAGTTCTGGAAAGCTTAACTTTGTCATTTTTTTAAATATTATTTATTACTTAAACTATAATTTTAAGTGTGATTCAAAAAATAGGAAACTTATTCAGAGTTATTAGTCTACACAACTCCAGCGGAATGTCTAATACACGCTGGGTGCAACTCGATAAGAATTGACACATTTTTATTGAAAGAGTTGCATTCTATCAGGGGGTCAATTATAGAAAACGAAGAAGTAGAATAACCAGTATTAAGTGTTCTGTTATGTATCTGATAGAAATGTGTTGATTTATTTTTATATTTATTTTATAAGCTCCTTCATATAATAAATTAAATGTTTCGGCGCAAAGTCAACTTCTTCTTTAGAGATGAGAATGATGGACGACCGCGAGATTTTTGCACCTTTACTCCTGAAATTGACCCAGAGAGCGACTCTTCTATCAATGTTGAAGAATACACTTCCCATTCTATCAGTAGGATACTTCTGAGAAACAATATTCTTTAACGCTGATAAAATAGAGAACATCCATGGAAGCGACTCTTATCATTGTTTGAGGAAGACAGTTCCCTGGAAGGTAAAAGAGCCACGCCACATTCTATCACTGGGATACTCCTTTATTTTTAAGAATTGGCCTCCTGTGGGACGGAATTGAACAACTGATAAGAAGTGGGCATAGTTCTGTTGTTTGTCGAGGAGCTGTATTTTTAACTCTGAAAGGATAGTCACTTCCCGCGTCATTCGCAGGAGCAAAAGTCTTGCCGTCGAGCATCACTCTCATCTACGAAGTTAACTTTGCATACGAATTATAAGGGGAACCTAGGAACATGTTACTGAAAACAAATACATTTACAAAAATATTTTATAGACGTTAAAACAGAAATGAAAAGTTTTTATGGATTGAAATCATTCACATGTGATTTTTTCTAGCAATTACTGTTATTATAGGAAATTGTGTTTATCACAAACAAAAAAGCGATTTTCAATGTCATCGTCAAAGGTCAAAACAGCCTTAGAATACCCAAAAGTCATCTCTATAACATTTGCTCCATGTTTAGGAAACAGCCTTTGTGCATAAAGTATGATGAATTTGATGCAAAAATTCCCTTTCTCTGTACCAAAAAGCTTTCATGTTTTGCTATTTACCCACTATTGGGTCTCCTGATTACTGGATCGTCTTCTGTTCCCCAGCAAATTCGGCGGGCTGAGACACACTTGCTGAAACTGCTGCAGCTGCGCCTGTTTCTGCAGCTGACTTGTTATCCCCGAATTTGATTGCATCACATCTGGATTCAAAGCTCTCGTTTAAAATTAATGCAACACTAACTCAAAAATATTATTCGTGGTATGTATATTTGTTATATGGATATTATCACAGAATTGGATTACTCAAAAGCATCATATTCAACTTCAAGCATGCATGATTATTGGAGCTGACTGAATCTCATTCTCCTAGAATTTTAAAAACATATTCATTAGTAAGTTGATTATTAAGCACGCAGGTGTTTCACGCCCAATACCTTATATGACCGGATACGCGCGACGTAAAGTTCTGAATAGATATTTGATTTTCAAAATTTTATTAACGATTTAATGTTATAAATGATATCACAGTTTTAAGTCTTTCTTTAAAAATGCTTATCGAGAAACGGAAAAATATTTCAAATTTTGAAAAAGTGGGATGTTTTTTATCCCGATACTTCCATTCCATAATTGGCCAAAAAAATAAACAACAAGTCACAACATTTAACCCTGAGCACACTACGTACTAATATAACTTCGTTATTTTGACAAAAAATTCCTATGTGTTTAGAACCAATTTTTACAGAATGACATAAATACTTTGAATTTAAAAAGTTGGTTTCGCTTCCATTCATACCGGTTTTTAATAGATATCTACAGAATTACTAGAGTTTCTTATTATGAAACTCTTGTATATCAGATCACGGAGCTCATATCTGACTACACAGATATTCAGGAAGCTCTGCACGGGTATTAGGTATCTTGAAAAGTGACATTATGTCGATTTTTTTTTGACATTATATTGTTTTTTTGTTATATTAATTATGTAGGTTTTTCTACAAGATGTTAACTTAGTAGTAGCTGATGGACACGTTGTGAACTCGTTTTGTAGTTAAAAAAAAATCTAAGGGTATCAGTGTCCCTTACCATCTCTCCCAAAACAATCATTCAAGAATGAAATGTTTAAAAAAATATTTGAATGGAATATGAATATTCTGCTTTGAAAAATGTATTCCGAGTTCAAATGTTCAAACGTAAAATTCCAAACCAAAGCTGTGTCGGAAATAAGTTCTAACGTTCTTCCACTCCCTGTCCTTAGAGTGTGACCATTCTCCTGTCACGAACTTCGGTCAAATGTGAGGAAAATAACCTTAATTTTATGAAGTTGGTAATCTGACATGAAATGTATGGTTAAGTTCTATCGGAATTCGCAAATCCTATTGGAGGACCCCTTTGGCAGGAAATATATGTATGGTTGTAAACAACTGCTTCAACTATTAAAAATGTACTACTGTCTAGGTACTCCAAACTCTTATCTTGATGAGATTTAGTAAGGTGCGATAAGGCGGCCATGTCCCTTAGTGGGGTAATTTATAGACATCCACTTTGCGTTCGCGCTTTTGGTCGGATTTAATAAAAATGACTTTGCTCTAATAAATTATAGAAAAACGATAATTTAGATAGAATTACTACGTAACTGCAAAATTAAAGCGACGGCGACTGTCAATCGCAATTTGACACTCGTGATCGCCTTTATTTCTACTACGTCTTAGCTATAATTCACTTGTAGTAGCTGTGTTTGTTTCCACACGGGCACTAGCGAAGGAACACGTGTGCATGCAGCATGCACACATCCTGGCCCCACCTACGACATCCGCCGTGTGGTACCTGCGCATAAGACAGAGACCGTCTACGACCTACGACTTAATGTAACATCTGCTTCAGAGGCTATCCATAGCATCTATGGTCTAAGCTGTATGTGCTACCTATAGCCAGAGGGAAACACCACAGTGCACAGTGGCTGGCTCTTGCCTCAAAGACACTGATGGCTTGAGACAAGAAACTATGCAATGCTAGAAATTAGTTTCGCATCAACCTAGATGACGTTTTTTTTCATGTCAATGGCACACTGAAATGAGAAACTGAATGTTATTACAAAACGAGCTACATTTTATAAATTAAAAGCCCGCTCTCAACTAATTGTACTCCTCTTGGTCACAACATGACTGACTAAGCTACGTTTTAAAGATGTACCAGCAGCAATAAACCGAGTAACTCAAGTCACAGCTCACACAAAGACAATCCGAAAAACTTTTGACCTAGACAGTTACATAAGGTAAGGGGCATGAATCACCTACATGTAGGCGTGGTGATTTCTCTCAGCTGCAAATCAGTCAACTGACTTGTGTTGGGCCCAGCCATCTTGATGGTGATTGGCGCAGCACGTTGCAACGCCGTCGTTGTCCTGGCTAACGGCGATGCCTGATCATTTCCGGTGCTCACCCCCACCCCCGGTTGAAGGCGTGGCCTTTGCAAAGGGGCAGTCGTGATCAGTTGGAAGGGTTGAGCGGTCACTTGTTGGCTGGAAAGAGATGAGGAGCGTACGGCTTGTTGGGGGATTGCTTTCATTCCGGATGTCACCAGTTGAGCTGAAATGAAAATAGCGAAATTCCAGTTTTCAATATGAACGTTTATTTTGGATGTTTAGTTTTGAATGAAGCTATAACGGCAGTCAACATTTCGATAAAGTTGCTGGCATCAATATTTTTGTCTCTGGGGCTCAAATTTTCAATCTAAAGTTAGTTTTCACGTCAGCTGCAAGTTAGCTGTTTGCCCGTAAATTCGTTTTGGGAGCTCAGGTTAATTAACTCATAGTCGTTGGTGTTAAAATGGCCGTATCTACACCGTGGATAACCAAGCGGTTATCAGGTTTACTGGTACATACAGTAATGGGCAAAAGTATATAGACAAATTAATATTGTGCTGTATTTCTTTTTTAACTTGTTTTATTAATACACCAACCAGTATGCATAATTCGTTATAGCATAATACTCACTTATACATAAATAAATTCATTAGACTCTCTTCAATAAAAAATTAATTGAAAAAACTGGAACTATGAAGGACAAAAATATATAGACAATGCAAAACAATTGTAGAAAAAAGAAGAACTGAATTATAGAAAACCAACCATGTTTGTGTTAATATTTTGTAGCATAACCATTATTATCAATCACCGCCTGGCATCGTCTCGGCATAGATTGTAGAAGTTTCTTGATATAAGATTCATCAATCTGTCTCCACTTTTGCTCTAAAGCGGCAAAAAGTTCATCCTTGTTTGAATAATTTTTATCTCGTAGTTGCTTATCTAAGTATTCCCATAGATTTTGGAGACTGTGAAGGCCTTTGAGAACTGATATTTTTTCGTCCAGAAAGAATTTCTTTGCGAGATTTGAAGTGTGCTTCGGGTCATTATCTTGCTGCAAGATTGATCTTAAGGGCATATTGTCTTCCATATAGGGTAACATGACATGCTATAGTATGTTTGTGTATACAAACGTATCCATAATGCCATCTATTTTATGTAAAGATCCCATCCCAAACCCCGAAAAGCACCCCCAAACCATAACAGACCCGCCTCCATGTTTGACAGTGGGCAAAGTGTACTTGGGATTCAATGTTTGTCCACTAGGACGTCTAACGTAATGAACACCATCTGATCTAAACATATTGAACTTGGATTCGTCACTGAATCATACCCTCTTCCAGTCACAGATGCTCCAATTAAGATGCAACCGTGCAAATTGTCATCGGTCCTTACGGTTTTTCCTCGATTTTAGCGGCTTCTTACTCGGGCGGCGTGCAAATAACTTCAAATCATTTAATCTTCTACTTATAGTTTTCGTAGAAACACTGACAATTCCTTTTGCCTCGATTTCGGCTTTTATTTGCCTTGGGGCTTTAAACGGATGTTTGGACGAAATTACTTTTATTAATCTAACTGATCTAGCATTTAGTTTTCTAGGCCGACCACTTCTCTTAGAGACTTCCAAGATTTTTTTGTTTATATTTGTTCAATATTGCCCAAACTGCTTTACGCTTCAGCTTCAAATTTTTTTCAATGTTGACTTGACGTTGACCATCTTTGTATAACTCAATGATCTTAGTTTTCACATCGAAAGAAATTTCTGGACCACATGGCATGGTCTTAAAATCACTCAACTTATTCCACAATACTTGATGAACACAAACTAATCCTCTTCTGACACGAAACTGTACTAAACTAATGTTGAAAATAATTTGTCTACATAATTTTGTCCCTCATAAAAAAATGCTTTTATTCAGATTTGTATTGTGTTCATTGCAGATAATGTAAAAACAAGGAATTTAGTTTTTCTACTAATAACGCATTTGTTTATGGAGCAATGAAGTATGAATTCGTTTTCTAAAGGTATTTAGGTAAATATTCATATTTGTCTATATACTTTTGTCCATTACTGTATATTCATTGAAAGCCATTGTTCATCTGGTCTGTGGATACTTAGTCTTCCGGTCGATCGTTTTGGTGGTGCGACATCTAGATTGATAGATAAATATGCTTTTACAGGTATGTCTGAAGAATACAATTATTCTTACATGGTTTACATATCAAAAAATTCACAGTGGAATATCTTTAAATTATTAATTCTTTTGATAGCATCAGGGAGACACATGTAAATTTTCAGACCATTATAAATGATTGAGTCTATCACAAGTTTTGATCTACAGACGCAGAACATTTTGGAATGATCAATGAATTTTGATATGGCGATATTGTCTTTTATAGGTTTGGGGCTAATAAGAAACTACACTTCAAAAATACATAACACAGGCAGTTATCAGATTTCATAGAATTCATTAAGCTAAAGCAATTTCTCTAGCACATATTAAACAACTCAAATCAAGTAAGCAGGAGCATGAAAGTCAATACCTCTAATCACAACTTAGAGGTTTCTATGGATCATTTAAAAAAACAAATTAAATCTATTAAAATAAGCATTGAAATTATCGATTAGTCAAAGGATTATCATTTGATCTAAATCTGTTTATTTGATAATAATTTGACGCTTTCATACTGATTTTTTTTCTCATTTTAAGGTGATAACACAAACACATAAGCCAGGTAATTACATGTGAAGATGTCTGATGTTTTATAGCTTTTTGAACAGCTGACTAGGGCAAGCTTTTCTAGAAATTTTATGCTCAATGTAATATGAATTATTGGTAATCTAAAGCTACCTAAGCATTTGGCTATGCACAGTATAAACATGTCCACTCTCAAGCATAGTTGTAGAATACTCATATGTAATGAGAATCTTTCGAGATGGAGCGACAAAACTAACTTGTCTTTGAATTCACACTACCAAACTTTCACACACAGGTAGATTGCTTGTTTTAGTGTGACCCGTCAAAATCGACGAAAAGAATTATAGGCTCATCAAGTGGCGACGCGTGACTTTTCCTAAACTGTTACCAAAAAAAGTTTATTTTGAACCTCCCAAATACAGGGTGTCCGCAAAGTTGGGGTTTTCCTTTACACGACGTGTAGATCTTGAAAACATAAGCAATTTTTCTTAGTACCATATACACCAATGTCTTAAGGGAACCGAGATGAAGGGCTCTACAACATCAAAAATATCTTAATACCGTCCTGTAGCCGCGACCCGCCGGGATATCACCGGTTGGTACAAGGTCTCAACCCGACGACAGAACTCGGTCGGGGTCAGTGTGTCAAGTCAGTATGCAACCTTCAACCGAGGGTTATGGTCACGCGTGTAGAGGTAACGTACCCGTATAATCGATTGCGTTTCAAAAAAAAAAAATAATGGCACACTCATACACCAATAATGAACTAGTTGATATGTTGTTAATTTATGGCGAATGTCTTCAAAATGCTACACAGGCGTCGCGAGTGTATGCAGCTCGTTTCCCTAGACGACATCATCCAAGGCCCCGCAGATTTGTGTACCTGGTCCAGAGAGTCAATGATACGGACCATTTGGAGGAATTTCGAGGTGGGCACAGTGGGAGGCCTAGACAACCACGAATGGTGCAAGTTGAGGAAGAACTACTGAATCGCGTAGACGAGAATCCCTCAACAAGCACTAGAGACGTGGCTAGAGAAGTGCAAGTATCAAAAACTAAAGTGTGGCAAACGCTGCGTGAAGAGGGGCTGTATCCATTTCACGTCCAACGTGTACAAGCCCTTCAACCTTCAACCAGCAAGAGTGCGGTTTTGTGAGTGGTTGTTGCATCAACATGACAATAATCCGGACTTTTTGAAGTGCATATTGGTGACAGGCGAATCTACGTTCACGCGTAATGGGGTGAATAACTTTCGCAACACTCATGTTTGGTCAGTAGAAAATCCGTACGCTGTCCGTCGGGCACATTTTCAACAAACATTTTCGGTGAATGTTTGGGCTGGCATGGTGAACGGTATGCTCATTGGACCATTTATTCTCCCAAATCGATTGGACGGGATGCAATACCTAGACTTTTTACGCAACATTTTGCCTTCCTTGTTAGAAGATGTGCCATTAAGTGTAAGATAATCAATGTGGTTTCTGCACGATGGTGCACCGCCCCATTTTAGACGCGAAGTGCGTGAGTTTTTGGATGAATTATTTCCGAATAGGTGGATCGGACGTAATGGACCCGTAGCGTGGCCTCCGCGATCTCCAGACTTAACACCATGTGCTTTTTTTCTTTGGGGAGAAATGAAACGCTTAGTGTACAAAACTGAAGTGCATACGGTTGACGAACTTCGTCTCAGAATTGAACCAGCTGGTGCTTTCATTCGGGGGAGGGACTCCATTCTCAAAGCCTGCACCGATGCTTGGCTACGTCGTGCACGCACCTGTGTTTTTGAATCAAACGGCGATAATTTCGAACAACCTATAAAGTACGTTTACCTAAAAACTGAAAACGCGGCAACGCCGTCTTATTTGTTTGGTCTGCACCACTGTCGGCGTCTGCTCGGTGATTTCGGGCAGAGACGTACTTAGCCCTTCTCGTCAACTGGAGAGTGAGTACTTTTTCCTTTAGGCCGCCCTCGTTTCACTACACATTACCTTTGTTATTTCAAGGGTAGTTGTTTCTGAAAAGGAAAACCCCAACTTTGCGGACACCCTGTATAAGTTGTTGCTTATTTTAGGTATTTCATTTAAACTATTTTTAAATTAAGGTAAACATTCCTGGACTGAGCGTCTGGGGCACTTGATATACCTCATCGTCTTATATTATGACTAATCCAAGCCGTCAAAAAAACAGTCGATGTTTCTAGATGTTCTGAAAATTTTTGATCTTTTTTGGCAATGAATGTTAACAACTCCCTGTAATTTCCTCTATTGTCAGAGTCATCCCCTTCAAAACGAACGGTAATTCCTGTTTTGCCAATAAACATACGGTAGCTAGAAGTGTGCTGCCTAAAAGCTTGGTTAAGACAACTTTCGATTCTTGTTTTGCCAAACTGAATTAAATTATCTACACATCTCACATGTAATGGAGAAATTTCATGTCTCCTCTTTAGAGCCCTAAAACTATTTAAATCGTTGACTCCGCTGCTGGTACACCCATTTTTTTCTGTTTAAAACAGAAGACATAGCCAACAATACAATCTGTTTTTTGCAACCACATAACCAAGAGTTTCAATATACCAACTTAATTTAAAATATGAAACTACGTTTTTTTATTCTTTTTTAAAATTATCTAAAATAGATGTTGGTCTTCCCTCTTCAATGATCTTTTCAAGTAGTTGATCGATTACGCAGCGACACTCATCCATGTTTAATTGCACGCACACTACAGCCGGTAACCAAAACGGCTACTAACGAGTGAGATGTGAGTAACCAAATCATAAAATGGTAACAAGCCCACATAATGTCGCAGCGTCCCACGCACTCACGATCAGACACGAGCCGGTACCGACAGTCCCCGACGGACTACCAAATGTATCCATAAATGAAAATGGTAACAACCGACAACCAAGTCGAGGCGAGTCAGCTACATCGTGTTCGCAAAACCTAGACACTATAGGGGGTATTATTTTCGTGGGGCTAATTTGCTATTTACTGAATTACTATTACATATCGCTGTTGGTAAACAAATACATGAAATTATTTCACAGTACTTAGTCATAAAATATTTATTTTTAAGACTTTTAACTGTTACCAATGGTAACAATGGTTACATGGACGCTTCGCCACTGGGGTCATCCTAGTATTCATCCATTTGAATTTTGAAGTAGGCACCCATATTGCAATATCTAAGTTTGACTATTACTTCCTGACATGCATCTCAAGTTTATCTTGACCTTAAAAGTCTCATATATGTTAAATTAATAAAACAAGCATTAGAAAAAATAAAAATCCCTTATTTTTAATAATGAAAATTAAAAAATATATATAAAATAAGAACAAGTGCATGTGCCAGTCTTACAGCTTACTTCTTATAGATATGTTAAATTAAAAAGTTCATGAATCTTGCCAAATAATTTGCTTCTACATACAACAGATATCTGCATACATAACAAATTTACAATAGCTTATCCAGAGTAACTCATTAACATATTCACATCATCTTTATGATGTGCTCAAAGTTCCAAATGTACCAAAGGAATATTCTATACACAACAATCTGCCCTCTAATTTATGTACAACTTGAGGTTCATGATACTTTTCATTATCCCCATTTTCTTTCAAAGTTCCACAATTCCAAATTTGAATACTCCCATTAATACTACCACCACATAGCTCAGAACCATCAGTACTCCACTCAAGATGTGCAATGTTGACATCCTTAGTCTTTAATTCTAGCAAAACCTTTGAATTTAACAAATCCCAAAATCTAAGTTTGTGATCATCACTGGATGCCACCAAATGCTTTCCCAATGGGTCAAAACTTAATGTGTGGATTGTGCCTTTAGCTGCATGTAGCAGCCTTAAGCAAGTAGCTTTGTTGATACACCACATGCGTACATTCCAATCTGCAGAGCCTGTCGCAACATACAAACAGTTTGGATGAAATGCTACACAAGTCACAGCATGAGTATGACCTATAAATACTCTCAGTGCCTTTCCTGTACTTGCTTCCCATAACCTAGCAGTTGTGTCCTGAGAACCACTAGCAATATAATTTCCCTTACAACTAAATTTAACACAATACACAGGGCCAATGTGACCATGACATTTATTTATGAGCTTCATTTCATTCAAGTCATATAAGCACAAACTTTGATCTGCTGAACAAGTAACAAAAAAACAATTATCAGATGAAATGTCTAAGCCATATATTCTTCCTGAATGATCAGTTAGCTTGATTTGCTCATACATATGGCTATATTCAAGTAAGGAATCATACTCATGAAGAGGTTTTAAGCGCCCTACATTACTGTAACTAAATGCAACAAGTCCACACTGTCTTTTCAGCAGGCCACAGTTCAATGGTTCTTTGGTGGAACATATATTGACATTATATATAGGTTTTGGTTCATTTTCTAGTTCCTTGATAGCATCCAACATCTTTTGTATTCCACCACTTTCAAAAGGGTCTTTCTTTATTGGACATTCATCAGTATCACTCATAGTTTCTTCCTTGACAATACGAAAATCAAACCAAGTTTGCATTGCTTGTAAAAATGATATGTGACAATTTTCCAGGATAAACTTCTTAAGCAAACTTAATGATTCGGATGTCAATTCTATGATTTTTCGTTTGCTTCTGAATATTTCCTTCTCTTGAGTAACATCACGTTCAGCACCAATAATGTGCAGCAATTCCTCAACTTCATTTGAACATTTGCTTCTATCTATCGAATTCAAGTGGTTCTTATAGAATGAAACAGCTTTGTCAGCATTTCCTCCATTAAGGATGTCAATATACAAATGACAAAATAGCAATCCCACAATCTGCTCAACATCCTGGCAACGATTCTTTTTGTTCTCTTCTTTTAACCACTGTACAAATTTTGAGAAATTGTGATCAATTGCTGGTGGATCGCTGTTATAACAACTATAAAGTATGGAGTTGGATCTGCTGATTGCACTGTCTATTAACGTATTTGTAATATGTTGCGAAGTGGTTACTTCAAATGGCTGAGTCTGTAGATAATTTCGCCGTTGTAAGTATCCCGAAACTGTATTTTTTACTTCGATTTTTGTTCGTTTTATCCGGCTTTCTCGCTTAGAATCATCCATTTTATAAACAAAAACAGGCAAGATTCCCACAAGTGAGGTTATACATGTTGACATTTCATTGTTGACATATGACATGGAACACAAAACAATTTCAACATCGATTTCTACAAGTCACCGATAGACCAGTGGCGGCACTTTGAGGGGCCGCAGATACTTTCAATAGGTATCGGGGAGTTATGATTTTCAATAAATAATAATTTTGGAAAATTGTGCCAGCTTATATTATAGAAATATATGAATCGTGTTTCATAAATAACAATTTCTAAATGTTCGTTATTTCTTCAGATGACATCCTAAATTAAAATGTTTAGTACCTTTTTGGTACAATTACGGATAAACTCCAGCAGCAACATGAAAAGTGTTTCGTTTCTAACGGCCGTATTTACCATTCCCTAACGGACTGTTAAATTATTCAACACAATCATTATTAAATCCCTTTTTAGTATCCACCATCAACACATCATAGCAAACAGTCTGTTAAAGTCATGGATAAGTTAACAGCGCGATGTTGGACTGGTAAACCACTAACGGACTGTTTAATACTAAAAGGTCAAAAGTGTCATCCCGACTTTATTTTGCCTGGAGATTTCGTAGAAGTGATTTACAAAATACAGTCAGCAAACAGCGAGTAAGAGCTTGTCTTGTATAAGTATCAAAATGGATAGCCTCAGTAGATTTGATATTATCGACATATTAGAATCTTCGGAAACAGACACGAGTGACATTGAAGATATCCCTAGAGAAAGAATTGTAAGAACTAGGAGGTCTCCCTTGATTGAACTAGATGATTTGGAGTTCAGAATCAGATTTAGAATGAATAAAAATACATTTAGGCGACTGGAAACTGTATCCCAAAATGTTACAGAACCGATAAATGAAAGGAACCAGCCAATCTCAAAAGAAAACCAAATCTGATATGGGGGCTAAAACTTGAAACTACGTGTGAGGTTATTGTGGCAACTGCTGTGCTGCACATGTGCTTAGAACAGAATGACACTATCGATTTTTTTGAGAATGGAGCTGAAATGGAACAAATTGAAGAGATCCAGGACCGAATTGGATCTCAAAATACTGCAACAAGAGACTCAATAATTTCATCAATTTGTATGTTGAAATGAAAAAATTAATTATCATGTAGAGATTTACGTGTTCAAAGTGTCTATCCATTTAAAATAAAATTCATATTGAAATTATTTTATGTATATTACATTCAATACGGATAACTTTGCCTATAAGTTATCATCGGCACTTGTATCTTCATGGGAACAGAAATAGTAATTCAATTTAGTGATAAATACTTCATATACTCTTATTTAATATAACTAAGGATTAAAACTTTTTCATCAAATGTAGTAGTTCGAGGAATAGATACCCCACTATTCGTTTTTAACAAATTCACCTGAAAAAACAGAACAAGTTAATTTCTTTGTCCAAATCCTGTCTTTGTCCTTTGTCCAATGATACCTTGTCTTCAGATTTAGGTTGTTTTGCTTTTTAGTTGTTGGCCAGTTCTGAGGCCAGTTGTTTGAATGGAATATCCAGGCAAGCTTCTCCGAACACTCATTTTTCTGCTTGTTAAATATCAAGTTAGTCTTTTTGTTTTCAATTATACTTCGATATTTTTCAACCAAGGAAAATATTGTCTCTTGATGTATATTTAGCTGATCTTTTTTTATGACTTTTCCATGATGCAAAACCATTACAAAACTGACACTGTGACACATGACAACACACAGCAGCTATAAAGTGAGGTTAGATTTGGTTCTCTCGTTTTTTGTCACGAGGCACCCACTTAAAGAAATTTAAGATCTTTGTATGACAGTAGTGATGCAAAGTTTCGTTACTTTTTAGGACCTGTAAGGACTCGTTAGTTTAGTTACCCTTTGAACATTTCGTTTAGAACCTACATTCTATATATTATATCAAATTATTACTTTGGGATTGATCCAATTATTATTTTTTGTCTAATGCCTTGCCTATTAATTTTTTTGATATTTGATACGTAGAAGGTACTTATATTTTAAACTCGTCGTTGTGTGACGTCTCGTTCGTTGGCTGTACGCTGTAAATAGTATTTTACAAGTGGCATAACCAGATGGGTACCGTGGAGGAACCACTCTCCTCACTCTTTACTTTAGTTGAGTAGCGTCCCCTGCCCTAACAGTCTGGTTACTCCGCTGTCCTACTTAACAGTCTGGTTACTCCACTGTAAATGGTGTTCAACAAAATACTTATAATATACATATAAAACATACCTGAAACTAAGATCCTTTTGCACCTAGGCATATTTTCGTCTTCCACCCGCCGTTTTGCCCTTTGTCCTTCCAATGAAAGAGTCGGATGTTTAGTTTTCAAATGCTTCCTTAAATTGCTAATGTTTCCATTTTTATGCGAATAAATATTTTTACAAAGATTAGACTTTGCATTAGCTTCCGATATATTGGTGAAATGCATCCAAATAACACTTCTTTTTTGAGTTTGCGATTCTCCTGAACCGGACGCGGATGATTCCATATTTTTGTACAAATAATAATTATATTATTGCTCGAGCTTGTACGGCAACGTCTAAACCAGTAACAACCCGCCAACCGCTAGCTCTCAAAGTCAAATGAAAAGTGTACAGGTGTACACAAACATTGCCAACCTAAAGCTCCGCAGTCCGCAACTCGTTTGATAGAAGAGTATCTAAAGTTGCCTAAGCCTAACGATATTCGCATCATTTCATTTCCACCCAGTTTACATCCAAGAACCAAGTCACTTGCTGCTCGCGCTGGCAGTACTGGCTACATTAGATCCCAGTAACGTTTGTATCTAAAGTTATATATAGCGTAGTAACTAACAGTAATTAAAAAGTATACATTGAAAAAGACCGTATCGCATTCAAAGTAACGAATTCAAATAAAAAGTAACGAGTCTTTTCAAAAAGTAGGACTCGTTACATTTAGTTACTCATTTGTAACGATTATTTTGTAAGCGTTACTTAATTATTTTACATCACTATATGACAGTCAGTTTGTTATCAGAAGCCGAAAAGTCTTGGTGAATACCACTATTGTTTAACAGACTGTTATACTTTGTACAACTGATAAGGCAAACGCCGAATTGGTGAATACGGCCGTAAGTCACTAATCGTCTACGGGTTGTTTGAATATTTATCTTTGAGGAATTTGCATAAAATATATCAAGCAGGATAGCTTCTTGCATGATATCACAAACCAGCTTATATCACCATTGCGAGAAATAAGTCCGCGCACGGCCATCAGAAAAATGACACTCCCAAGGTTTCCCTCACCGTATGACAAGAAGCCCTATTTTATTGAAATAACAAAAATCCATGTTTGCAGTGTTATACATAACTTTTGGTTTCGGAAAGTTTCGGGCCATCGAGCATCGGTTTAGTTCGGATTTCGGTACAAAATCCACCGAAAGTACTACCGAAACTATATTCTCTATATCTTTTTTACAACTTTTGTTTGATGGGTTTCCACGGCAAACGACAGGCGTACAATGTTCAACTTTAATCTGCATGTTCGGTTTCTTGTTGGTAGTTACTTTTTAGCTTGTTATACAGAGCAAATCAAAATAAGGTTACATTATCCCAACATTAAAAGACACTATGTGGGATAACTTCGGAAGCTAATGAGAATGCAATGCCTTCCATTATCAAAGACTGCATTTTTTCTACAATTTACTCTTTACTGATGGTCAGTATGTGCAGTGGATCAATTTTTAGAGTCAAATACATTTTCTATCAATAGTTTGCGTTTTTCCTTCTATGAATAATGTATCCGAATTCAACCTACTTTTTTACAAAATCATACAGAAGTTTATTGGCTTTATTGGTACACCGACTTTTTTGACATTGTCTTTCATTTTGCTTAATTTACCGAAAGAATACAAAAGGAGACTATTGCCCCAATTTTAGAAGGCACAAGTATGATAACCAAAGGTTAGGAGCTCAGATGAAAGACATTATTTCGCTTCTCTTGAGAGAGGAGGTTATTTCTGTTTCGTCCGTCTTAATTATAATTGTTATAAAAATTGATTATTAAAACGAAGAGAAAGAGAAAGTTTGCCTTTTCATACATACATTACCACGTAAAATCCCACATCAACAGTTTTCAGAACATCTTATCAAATAATTACCGCTTATTCCTCGATAAAAAGTTTCGGATTCGGCCGAAACTAAAGAAAAGGCAGAAATTACGGTTTTGTTTTCGGTGTTGGTTGAAAAAAATTGTTTAAGTCGGACACTTCATATTTTGGTAACACATTTACCGTACATTTGCAGTGTGGAAGTGGAAGAATCGTCTTCACCGCCGTGTGGCTTCAGAAGGAAGTTATTTTGAGGGTGACAATATAAAATTGTAATTATATTTGAATACATTTTTTTTTAAAACAGACTCATCAGTTAATTTACAAACCTAGAAAGGGTTCTCACCAACGCACTGTCGTCGCTAGTCGGTTTGGAGATGCTCATCAGTTAACGAAAGATGTCCGATAAAAGTACTTTTTATGCTCCACGAAGTGCTTCAGTTGGGGCAGCAGAAGTGAGAAAATTAATAGTGTACAAAGGGTGCATCAGAGACAAGAAATATGTTTGCATATGAGGTTCGAGGTTGTTCATATGTATGTATTGGGAGTTTTTGATAAACAATACCACCCATGCTTGTCTGTCCAATAAAACCACATGTAATGTACAATGACATAATTATTTGATTTATGTATTCGAAATTTGTTTTTTATTTTCATTATCACATTACTAAACAGTGTGCTACTACAATAGTATGAATATCGCGTAACAAGCTGAGATTGCGCGTAATCATTTCAAATTTTTGTAATAGATTTATCTATTTCGGGCTTTTGAGCCCTTAGTAACAAAACTTGATTTCAGGATAATTAAATTTATTCTGTCTAACAATGTATATTGATAGGTACTGCAAGGTACCTCGGTCATTCCTCTGCGTAGCGCAGCATTTCCGGTGAATTATACTACTTGCAATACCTAACAAGTTTCTAATAACAATATATTATACAGTGCCATACTAATTTTCAAGTTGGCACCACGCAAAACCAGCTCTGCCCAGGAGCTCGTGGGGTTGGAATTTCCGTTTTTAAAAAAAAGGACGTCCAGCCCTCCAAAACGACAAGCGAGTACGAGGCTATCTGTCAAAAACCCACCCAGAACTGTTGACCCAACACACCGGTTAATTGTTAAGCAAAATCTCGCATTTTGTAGATGATGGTGATAAAAACGATTATTATTATTAAGTCGAGCGGGCATTGGGTTGCTTTTGATGAAAACAGTGTCTCAGGTGTCAAAAGAACGACTCACCTAAATTAGATGTAGCTGCATTCGTCAAAACAACAGTCTGTGGCTGTACTCCCAAGCTGTTCACAGTTGGCACCGCATTAGCCGTAGACTGCGTCACCGTATTTGACGCTTGTGCTGCCGTGGTGACAGGTAGCGAGACTATTAGGCCGGGGTGACCCTGCACGTTCCCTGTCGATGATACATTCAATGACAGTGAGATCGGCTGCGGAAAGCCGGGTAGCTGTACTTGCAGGTTTTGTAGGCCTGGAAACGAGGAATTAAGTTGTAGAAAGTAGAGATCGAACGATACCGATATTTATAAAGGGAATATCGATCTATTTCGCAAATATATAAATCGGCGTTACATGAGTGATCGAACTCAACTATTTTTTGTTACGTATATAATAAACTGAAACTTAACAGTCATTTCCAGTCTTCAGTTTTAGCTAAACCGTTTAATGAATGCATTTTGGTATACTCTGTGGCATCACTGATTACGTATTCTACCTGAACATAGCCATCCTAATATTATAATGGAATATGGTCGCGTCATTTATGCGAATTTGTGACAGCTTTGTTTCTCCTCTACGCAATAATTAAAAATCTACCTTGAAAAGTTTGTGTCTCAGATGGAGCTGTAGGCAACTATATAGATAGATAGATAAATATGCTTTATTGTCTGAACAATACAATCATTTTTTATGACAAAGCTAGACTTATTTTAAAAAATAACACTGGTGAACAAAATTAAAATAATTTTTGTGACATGGACAAAACAAGATGGTTATTATGTAAAACGTACCCAAAAAGCCGGAAGTAGCATTCGATTTTCACCCACGGTTTTCTTGCAATAAGGCATTTTATTTGCTGCTTATACTCGTAAAATATAAGGATATGTGTGTACGAGTACTAATAAACACTCGAATAAATATTAATCTCAGAATGTTGTCGATGTTTTACGCGGATATGTTGCTCCTAAAGTATCTCTCAACAATGTCCAGCAATAATCAGCAAGCAAATTGACACTCCATTTGCATTGATACCGTTTTTCCACAACAGAAATGTCTTGGTGGAACCGTTCATGTTCATCACTTACCGCACCTGAATTTTCCGGAAAAAAATCGAGATGAGAATCCAAAAAATGATTTTTTAGAGACATGTTACATTACATTCCTTTATGAGCATTAATTAGTGACCGCCTTCACATTGCCTAAAAAATTTGCAGTGACTGATTTAAAAGCATTCCAAGCTCGTAATTCATTTAGAGCACTGTCAAATACATCATCCTTCATGATTTTCCGTATATGTGGACCCACAAATATGACCTCTTTAATTTTTGCCTCACTAAGTCTCTAAAATGTTTGTCTTAAATGCAGAGACCCTCTTCCATTTCGATCCATAGCTTTCACAAAATTTTTCATCAGTCCCAACTTAATATGCAAATGTGGAAGCAACACGTTTTTGGGATCAACTAGTGGTTCATGAGCAATGTTTTTGAGGCCCGGAGTTAATACCTGACGTAGTGGCCACTCCTTCTATTCATACTGACGATCTCGCGCACGACTGTCCCATTCACAAAGAAAACAACAATATTTGGTATTCCAAGAAGAAGGGCTATTACTTTTAAATCTGCACATATGGTCCATCCATATTCATTATAACGGATATGCTCTAACAGAACTCGCATATTTTGATATGATTCCTTCATATGAACTGCGTGCGCTATAGGTACAGATGGATATTTATTACCGTTGTGTACCAATACCGCTTTTAAACTAAGCTTAGAGGAGGAATCAATGAACAGGCGCCAATCATTTGGATCATGTTTCTGTCCTAACGCGTCAAACAAATTGTTGACATCGGAGCAATATATCAACTCCCTTTCTTGACAGAAACAGTGTGCGAGGTCTTGTTGCCGTTTTCGGTAAAAAGTAATGTTAACATCACCTTGGAGAAGATTCCATCCTTTAAATCTTGACGCTAAAAGTTGTGACTGGGATTTTGACAGATTTAATTCTCGAACTAAGTCATTAAGTTCGCCCAGTGTAATCAAATACGGCGCTGTTGAACATCCTGGCAGGTCAAACGAAGGATCGGAAATTTTTACGCTTTCTGTACCACCACTTTCAGAATCGGGGGTTCGACTTTCTCATCCAAAGACGAAGATTCTGGTGGAACTGGGACAGAAAGTTTATCACTATGCTTGGTAAATTAAAATACTTAACAGTATGTTTCGATTTAATATTTGTGAGGCGAAAATAGCAATCGGTAGTATGGTCTCTTGGTTCTCTCGAAACCATTGGTACCGCAAAGGGCATTGTCGCCTCTTAACTAACCCGTTAACAACGTTGCACAAGTCTTATAATATATAAGTTATGGTATTCTGATAACATTAACATCATCCAAGTCCCAACGAGTATAATACCGTTCTATACTCGTGAGACAGGATGTGAAGCTTGCATTTTCACCCGACACATTTCTGGAAAATTGTTATCTTGAGATATAAAACCGGTCGTCGACCATTCTCTGTACTCATTTCGTTACTTAATCCCCTGTAACCAACTGTAGCTGATGCATTAATAAAAGTTGATCTACAAAAGTACTGACAAATTTATTTGGCGCTGCGAACAGGATACCCAGCCTTCATCGAGTAGTGTGACTTAGTCAGAAATCACGAAGATTCATTGAGAAGCCAGCTGAACTTGAAGGTAAAAGTTTTCAAACTTAAGGTAAGACCTCTCAAGTTCCTGTTTCAACTTCATCCTAGTGGCCGGTAAGACCACGCAAGTTCCAGTACCTTTGTGGAGACAACTTTTGCATCCAGAACAGTCGGAAAACAGAACGAATGGGTCCCTTGACGACATCGATGCTGATCACGTCATTGTAAGTAGTTTAAGAAACTTATTAAGAATAAGAAGATTTTTATTGAAGAAATCAAAGAAGAAAGAAGATTTTGCAATTAATTGATGTTGTACAAGGAAGAGATAAAATTTGGAAAACAAGACGCATTATTTGTAAAAATATTTGATTTTGCTACATCTTTGATTGCTAGTTTTAAGATTGTATTTTTATGCCTCTTGTTAGACGATTTACTAGAGAGAGTTCATACTCCCCTTACACTTATCCACATTTAAGTTCTAGTTCTAGTGATTCTTCTCTTGAACCAGATATTTCAAATTCTGAAATCACAATGGCACAACCAAATGGTAATGAACGTTACAGAATGCTTGAACTACGATTCAGGAGTCTCAAAGACTCTCTGCCAAAATTTTCTCCTAACCAAAGTAATTTGTCTACCTTTATACGAGAAAGTGAGTTGTTCATTTCAAAATTTCAAAACACAGAATTCGAAGAGCCTGCTGTCGAATTGGTCATGTTAAATATTCGAGATCAAGCTCTTGAAAAGGTCAGAAATCACGGTGCCACTTCATGGGTCGAAGCTCGTGATGTTCTTGTTAGAAATTATAAGAATACTAAAAATGAAACAGTCTTATCAAATGAAATAACTATGTTAAAGCGTAGCAACAACGAAACTTACCGTCAATTTTATGAACGAATTTTAGATAAATTGAAAGAAATGAATGAATGCATAAGTCTTACTCATTCAGAGCGAGCAATTAAGTCCGTCCTTATTGAACGTAACGAAAGTTTAGCTCTTTCCTCATTCATATTAGGTGTCAAAAATCCTTATTCAGATCGCCTCAGATCCATCAGACCTTCATCTTTACAAGATGCTTTGCAAATTTGTGAAGAAGAGGACAATGCATTGACTATAATTCGTGCTAAAGATTCCTCTACATTTTCTAGTAACACTAATTTCCATACCCCAAAACCCTGCACATCTTTTCATAGACCTAATGTCCCTCATGCTAATCACTCTAATCTAAGACCCCCCTATCGACAAAACTTTGCTCATCCCAATAACAATTTTTCACAACAAAACTTTCAGAGGAATCCTTTTCCTCAACAATTTCCTAGACCACAATTCGGTCAACAAAATCAATTCCCTAGACCGCAATTTAATCAGCCTAATCAATCTCTCTCAAGAAATCCTAATGCTCTTTACAAGCCTACTCCTATGTCTACTTCTACTATTCAAAGCAAGAATCCCCAACAACGTCCATTTGTACGGCCAAATTTCTTTTCAAATAACGGCCAACGTCCAAATTTTATTGCCGAAGAATTAACTAATAACGAATTCCAAGACCTCCAGAAAAGTTCAGATTACTATGACCCCAACTACGGATATTCCGATCCCTCCAATTATGATTATTTCGAATATGATCATTCGAATGTAGAACCGCAAATCCCTAATGAAAACGAAAATGTTCAACAGGACAGCCCCCCAACGTCCCCAGAATAGATTTGAATCATTATCAAGAAGTCCACTTGCCCTACATTTATAATGACATTTTAGACTTGCTCATTTTAATTGATACAGGTGCTTCCGCTTCATTAATGAATCCTCAAATTGCTTATTCAAAATTTCCTGACTACGTTTTTCCAAAGAACTTTTCAATCAAAACTGCTATCGATACGAAAAATGGTACGCACGCTTGTAGAATCCCTCTTTTTAACGATTTAGGTATCCCCATTGAGGTAGAATTTCTTTTATTACCCTGGCATCAGGAATACGACTGTCTTCTAGGATATCATGATCTACAAAAATTCCATAGTACTTTCGATATCCCTCATAATTTGCTTTCTATCGAACGTTTTGAAATCCTATGCCACACGCATCGAGATCCTCAACGGATCCCAAACCAAATTTTCGATACTATTCTTACAGAAATTCAAGATTCATCTGCAATTGTATTTCCCATGAAATATGTTGATTCTAATTCTTACACCCCAAGTTATGTTTGTCCCATTGTAAAGAACAGAATTCTTTATCCAGAAAATCTACAGTATGTTGAATATAACAACATGCAGTATGAACCCCTTTCAGAGTATGAAATTACTGAACTTTCGGAATCTATCAGATTCAATGAAATGTCTCAATTAATTCGTACCAGTCACATGAATCGTGAAGAGAAATCGAAGATCATTAATCTTTGTTCTCGATATCCCCAAGCTTTTCTCAAGCCTAATGAAAAGTTAGAAGCCTGTAAAGCTACCAAACACTTTATCCGCACGTCTACTGACGAACCAATTTTCGTAAATTCTTTTCGATATCCGTATCATCTAAAGAAAGAAATTCAGAAACAAGTTTCCAAACTTCTCCACGATGATGTTATTCGTCCTAGCACATCCCCTTATTCTTC